TAAGAAAAACAGCAGCGCCCACTTGAGTTATGTTTCATTGCAAGGCCGAGTGGTTTCCCCTTTAAACGAAGGGAGTTCATTTATCACCAATGTTCAATTATTTTAGACACTCCACATCACAGAGCAAGCTATAATCAGGTTCTTGATTTTTAAATAAGAAAACTCTAGCTCATAAGGCATGTTGGAAATCACTCAATCAATCATTTTTACGGGGAATAATAATAGAAAATCTATATATATAATTCTCTTCTGGGATCAGTTAGAAAACAAGCTGCAAGCGCGCCTTTGCAGTCCCCTCTCTTCCTCTCTATCACTATCACTACCACCCCCACCCCACCCCCACATGATCTGGTGAGCGGTGTTCACTCTGTTTACATTTTACAATCATAGAGACGGGTTTGGTGATGGCTATTAGGGGCAGATAATTGAGTTTGAAACGATTTTAAACTTAGAGGAGGTAACTAAGAGGAGGCTGCTTTCACGTGGGGGGGGGGGGGGGTTAGTGTTTTTAAGCAAATATTTTCAATGGCAGCATTGGTACTGTCGAATTCACAAATTATAAATTACTGAAAAGTAGAAAAAAAAACAACTAAATAGCGGCGTATGATACGCAGCGGGTCGGCTCGTTGTAAGTAAGTTAAAATAAACCGGGAGTGAGCTCCCCTAAACTTTCTCGTATATTCTTATATAAAATAACAGGGGATGGGAAGTCGGGCTATAGACATTATTTTTAATCCATTTTAAATACTTAAAGTTTTAAAAATAGAATAAAATCTCGTAGACAAATTAATTGCACACCAATTGAACGCCAAATAAAAAAGCGCATAATAGTGCGCAATATTATTAGTACTTTTAAAATTTACATTAGTTTTTTGAGAAATCGGAAGTAGCGTAAATTACTACTTCCAGTCAACGGAAATTACTCAAAATTTAACAGACGGTAGAGAATTAGATCTTTTACTTACATGTGAAATTTCATTTATCTATCTGAAATAGTACTCAAGTTATAGGCTTTTGAAAAATTCAAAGTAGGAAAAGTACCACTTCCGGTTATCTGAAATCGCTCAAAAGTTGATACGGATCTACGATTTTGATAAAATACTTATATATGAAATTTCATCAACCTAGCTGTAACGGTACTCAAGTTATCGTGTTTACACACGGACACACAGACAGACAGACAGACAGACACACAGACAGACACACAGACATACGGACAAGATTGCAAAATTATGTTTTTCCGTATCAGTGAGGTGTAAAACGTCGAGATTTGTAAAAATCTCGATTTTTTTTTTTTGCACGATTACAAGACTTTCTCTATACTTCGTATATACGAGAAAGTAAAAATGAACGAATCGATGTGGAGAATTAAATTAGTGGAGTGGTTTAAAAAATGTCTTTAAAATATACCATATAAATAAATAAATAAATATATTATATAAACTTCATAATATCAAGCTTTTTTCATGTTCACATAGACCTGAATGAAACTATATTATAGATAAACTGTATTTTAAAAAGATTTCTAGAGAAATCAATGCATTTTCTCTTAGGATTGATCACATTTTTTTTAATTAATTGTTTTTTTTTCAAACCCCGAGGATAAAAGGTAAACTAATTTGTGAACACTTTAACATGACAATAGCCACCCGTCAAATATCAGCGACCACGGGGCATAACTCCCAAACACAAAGCTGGTATTTTTTCTAAAGTATTGATCACTTTTGTTCACCTGACACCGTCCAGTTGTCGCTGCATTAATCAACTATAGTCAATCAGAAGTTTTTAAAAACAGAAAGATTAATGAACGAAGAGTAATATAAAACAATAGTAATGTAATAAATATTGATTATTTAAAGAATGTTTGTCTAACAACTACATTGGAGTGGCATTTGTCATTAAAAGAGTGTGTGGGTGTGGTTTGGCAGGGAGGGGTGAAGACGGGGTTCTGTTTCAGATAATTGATTTCAGATTGGGTTTCAACTCCTCCTATTTCTTTATTCCTGATCAGTGGATTGTACTCGAGAGGTCAGGTATTTTTACTTTCTCGTATATACGTAGTATAGAGAAAGTATTGTAATCGTGCAAAAAAAAAAAATCGAGATTTTTACAAATCTCGACGTTTTACACCTCACTGATACGGAAAAACATAATTTTGCAATCTTGTCCGTATGTCTGTGTGTGTGTGTGTCTGTGTGTCTGTCCGTGTGTAAACACGATAACTTGAGTACCGTTACAGCTAGGTTGATGAAATTTCATATATAAGTATTTTATCAAAATCGTAGATCCGTATCAACTTTTGAGCGATTTCCGATAACCGGAAGTGGTACTTTTCCTACTTTGAATTTTTCAAAAGCCTATAACTTGAGTACTATTTCAGATAGATAAATGAAATTTCACATGTAAGTAAAAGATCTAATTCTCTACCTTCTGTTAAATTTTGAGTAATTTCCGTTGACTGGAAGTAGTAATTTACGCTACTTCCGATTTCTCAAAAAACTAATGTAAATTTTTAAAGTACTAATAATATTGCGCACTATTATACGCGTTTTTATTCGGCGTTTTCTTGGTGCGCAATGTTTTTTTTATGAGATTCTATTCTATTTTTAAAAGTTTAAGTATTTAAAATGGATTAAAAATCATAACTATATCCCCAGTTACCATCCCCTGTTGTTTTATATAAGAATATTCGAGAAAGTTTAGGGGAGATCACTACCGGTTTATTTTAACTGCTAGAAGCTATATTAAACCGGACTTGGATATTTAATGGCAATTGTGCGCATTTTTTTTTTTAAATATCGTTTGCACATTGTAATGTATAGCACTGGTTCGCACATTTTTGTACTATACGAAAATCTATAGGCTACATTTTCGTTGCCTATTTATAAAGCTAGTACACTGGTACTACTGATAGGGTGGACTAGGGCTGTCAGGGCTCTTGTCAATGTAAAAGTAAATGTCAGACTGCTGTCAGAGTGGATGTCGTGACTGTTGATTGGACAGTTGTCACAATCTGGGTTGATGACAGAGCTGTGGATTGGACAGTTGTCACAATCTGGGTTGATGACAGAGCTGTGGATTGGACAGTTGTCACAATCTGGGTTGATGACAGAGCTGTGGATTGGACAGTTGTCACAATCTGGGTTGATGACAGAGCTGTGGATTGGACAGTTGTCACAATCTGGGTTGATGACAGAGCTGTGGATTGGACAGCTGTCACAATCTGGGGTGATGACAGGACTTTTGATTGGGCAGTTGTCACAATCTGGGGTGATGTTGATGTATCTGTTAAGTCAGTGTCAGGATGTTGTAAAAGTAATGTCAGGGTTGCTGTTAGAAATGATGTCAGTACTGATGTCAGTGCTGATGTCAGGGCTGTTGTCATTGTCAGGCGTGATGACACTCATTGCTGCTGACAGAGAACTTGGCAGGTCTGCAACTTGTTTTCCAAAACAAATCTATTCAATCGACAAACTCCCCCGTCTCCCCTCTAGCACACCTGCTCGTGAGTTGTATTTTATTCTCTGATTCCAACCATTTTTACTTGTGAAGTTGGACTCAATTTTCCGGGCCTATATTTAGTGTTGCAAATCATACTCAAACTCCCTTACACGGGCGTTCGTTGCTACTCGTGAAATAATTTTTTTTTAATTTCATCTTTCAACATTTGGGAAAAAATAGCCTACCATTTTTTAAAATTTATAGATCCTAGTCTAGCATCAGGTTTTGTCTTTACTGTCAATAAAATCTAGGCTAATTCAGTAACGAAAAAAAAACTATAGAGAAAAAACACGAAACAAGTCCAATTTATTAAAATAGTTGATTTAATAAACTTCACAAAATCGTTGTATTTTACAACATATAAATTATCCCTAAGGTGTTTGAATGTGGCGCGTACAATTCTGTATGGCTGAGGCCGTTTGTGTGACGTATTCATTGGCTGCTCACGTCACGTGTCGAAGGGAAGTATAGGATCAGATTTTCCGGATGAAATCATCATAAAAAGGATATTTGATTGGCGCTAAGGGTATTGTAAATGACTGGGCTATTGGCGTTACCTCTATTCATAGAATATCAATACACTAGTTCGCCCCACTCCAGTCACTGACTTATTGCTTTAGCCATGGGTAAACACAGCTGTGTGCCACTATATGGGGTTTTAACATCTTTTAATTTACGTAATTATTCACCCTTTAATTAAATAACTACGTTAATTATATATATATATATATATATATATATATATATATATATATATATATATATATATATATATATATATATATATATATATATATATATATATATATATAATTATGACATCTTCGACACATAAGTACACAATTTATATAAGTCTGTAGAAACAGTATTAAAAATATACTTATTAATAATATATCATATTTATAATCGTAGAAAGCGTCTTAATTTTTTATATATCTGTTGGGCGCAGGGCTAAAAATTATGAAAGAAGTGCTCAAAGTGAACTGGCCAAAGCTGGTGACTTAACCACGGCTGTGATATACGTTTTCGAAACTTTTGAAACCCCTGTCAAATTCCTTTAATTGTAACACTCAACAGGTCGTTTCGTTCAAGCACCCCCCACCCCCTCCTGCCACACCCTACACAACGTAGTGAAAACAGAACTTTCCACAGGTTGGCCACTTATTAAATATGTCAATAGCTACCAGAGAACCGCTCTCATGTCGGCACCGGCACTCTACAGTAGAGCTGTATAGGGGGTGTCAATTGTTTGTTTATAGTAAACGAACCGTCCCATGCAGAGACTGGGGTAGAGGCTACTGGAATCAAGTCGGTTCTGTTATTACAGGAAGGGACCTTACTCGAAACGTTAGCGGTTCTGGTGGTGTAGAGAGTATTGTTGAGTCCCCGCCACGCGGAACGCGAATCATAGCAGTCTTTTTGGCGTGGAGAGTTTGTTAACGTTTGAAGCCAGCGAAGGTGTAGGAATTCTCCAGCGATTGAGACGATAAAAGGTTGTGATTTCAAAGTCAATGTTTTTAATGTTCTTGGATTGCGCAGGTCGATTTGATTCCGTGCTGGATTTTTTTTCTAAGTAGGCCTAGACACCTCCCTGCTTTTAACACGACATTCTTTTATTCTTGGCAGGCAGCACTAGCGTAGAACTCGCGTGTTGTATATTCAATGGAACCGTTCTTTTAAAACCTCCAAACATACACTCGCAGGCACTGTCGGCGCTTTGATAGTTCCGTGTATTAAAGTTCAGATTTTTTACTGCTAGGATTTGGCGTAGCTGTTCAGTGTACAGTATTAAAACCTACGTGTTAAACTAACTGTTTACACATGCAACCAGGCTGAAGAGGAGATAATAAAAAATATAAGCTCCTGATTTGGCCTTCCAAGGTGGATTAAGCGTTAACTGGTTGACAGTTTGTTTGTCTTTTAGAGACGATAGTGTTTTATTCATTAGAAAAACAATATAGCAGTGGATAGACAAGGTGTTTTATTATAAACTAAACCAATGGAATTAGTCTAATAACTGGAGAAAAATGAATTTAAGGTAAGTGTAGAGGTAATAATATGGGCGAATATATATATATATATATATATATATATATATATATATATATATATATATATATATATATATATATATATATATATATATATATATATATTAGAGAGAGATATTGGTCGATATAAATATGCGCATTACAAATGTTAATTGTCAGTGACGTGTATTACTTCAACAAAAAGGAATATTATCCGGTCCAATGAAAATAGAATAAACATAACTAAACCCCAAAATAAAAAATTCTTTAAAATCATTTTAGGGACAGCACTAGAGCCGGCATTATATTTTTGTCCCGTTCTTAGGCTATACTGAAAATTAATATCAGGTGTATATTTTCATTGATCCGAAACATCTGATCGAACTGACCACGTCTGTCTGTGCTTTTCTGAATATTTTACATTACTGTATTATCACAAGTATCTTGAGTTAATCATCTCATCTTTTCCATTCGTGCCGAATACGGATGGGGCAGATGAAGTAGAGTTCATCTATTTCTATAGCCTCGCCATATATGGGGATAGCGTTGTCAGCACTATGCCTAGCCGCTTTTGTTTCCTTAAGGTGAGTCTGGTATTCATACAGAGTCAAGCTAGGGATCCGAACTCAAAACTTTCGTGTTAGCAGTCGGTAGCCCTACCACCCGACTAAGCCGTACCACATATCTTGAATGATTGGGCTCAATTCATACTGAAGATGGTCCGTAAAGTATGCCACTAAGATTAGGTAGTTTTTTAAAACACCCCCCTACTCACAATTCCTTAGACAAACTCCATAAAAATGTTCTAATTTATATTTTAAAGTTTTATTTTGAGATTTATAGACCTATCTATCCGCATCAAATAAATAAAGCAATGCGTGATGCCAGTTTTTGCTGACCTTTAAACGGAAACTATGATCTTAAAACAGCTCATATAATAAAAACCCATGGCTAGACTGTGTCCAGCTTTGGCATTTTAAAAAATACGGAATTTAAAAAAAAGTTGTTTTTTTTTTAAACCAGCGGGTTTAAACAAAGCGGATTGAAAACCATCCATTATAAATCTTTGTTTTTGTTGTTGACATTTTAAAAAATATTTAAGATTTTGTGCGGAAGTTAATTATCTTTTTCGTTTTTTTCCCCCACGAATCGATTAAAAATACTAAGCTTATAAGAAAACAAGAGATCTTATTTTTAACAGTGATTATGTAATAGACCCATTAGTGGTAGGATCGATGCTGGGGAAGGGTGTGAGTTAAAATTAAGAAGATTCACATTATGCCGAGAAAAACTGCAACTCGTTAAAATGCTCAGTTAAATGCTTTTTTTTTTAAATCCTTAATGTCCCCAGCAGTGTTTCATTCAGGCATCTCTGTGTGCACCCCCACCCCGAAAGTCATAACCCCCCCCCCCTCAAGCAAAATTTCTGAAAGAGACCCTGCTCGTTACGTACTAATCATTCGACACACAACATGGCTATGCTCATTGTTAAGTGATTTAAACAAATCAATTTTTAAATGTAAAAATGGTTAAAAATAGTTTTTAGAAATTATTAAAAAAACAAAACAAAAAAAACAATATATATTTAAAACAGTAGAAAGCCAACAATCACGTGCTGGTAATTTATAAATTTTTAACCAAGCACCGGAACAAACCCCGCCGACAAATATGGCGGTGTCATGGCGTAGCGTGATAGCAAGACAAATTATTTAACCAACTGAAGCAGGAAAATAAATCTAAAATTCCCGCTTCACGCCTCCTCAATCTGGAACTTTCTTTGTTCTCTTCTGATGGTGTTAAGAATGGCATGTGGAGCACGCATAGAACAAAACAATGCTTGAAACTTTAATTTATCCGCCGCCACTTGCTAAAAATGTTGAGAAGCCATGTAGAAAAGTACAAGTATACTGAGATTGTAGCTTTAGATATGAACCTTGCAGATGTATCATAATTTAACATAATATCGATCAAATATGCTAATAGAGAATTTGTTTTATATCATTGTAGACTTAGATCGTACGAATACTTTAAAGAATCGATATGACTGTATGGTACATTTTGGACATCAAAGACACAAATTGACATAAAGAGACATTTTTTTTCAATACTGGGTTGAAGTTTAATGTTAGTCTAGAAAAACAGCTTACGAAATTTTATTTTAAAACAGTGACTTATCAGAGGAGTGACTAAATGTAGGCCTACATGCAGTATTTACCTGCATTTAATCATTTAAATATAGTTGCATATTAATACCAAGGGGAAAGGGGTGGGGGGTGGGGGGCTTGTCTTAGTTACGTACACACATCTTTTGATATGACTGAAGCGTGTACACATTTTTTAAAAAGTCCATAAGACTAGCTTTTGCTACTTTCACACATTATATTGACTGTATGCCAATCAGGCTACTATAAAAGCTGGACTGTAAATTAACATCAAAGAAATGAAACAAAAACCTAAGTTTCTATCTTTCTTTTAGATTTTTGTGTATAAACAAATACCTTTCTGCAAATGACGGAGGTATTGTGTAATACAGTTTTTCTTGGAGTATATAATATCACATTCGTCTCAAAAGGTATTTAAAAACTTGAGTGGCTTTTACCGAGGTTTGCCTGTAATCAATGGATCAGAACGGTCTTTAGAACAACCGGGCACACACGCCGTTGGCAAAACGTTGAGTGTACGGGTAACTCCACTCTGATGACGTCACACTGCTATGGTGCTTATCAAAGCCTCGAGGTATAGGCTTTCAAAGCGAACCGTTTTAGGCTCAGTAATTTAAAACTTTTATTTCCTGGTCTAGAGCCTATACACGAAATCTTCTCGATAACATTCGAATGTACGTCTGGTAATTCGATATGATTCACTTTTTAATTTAAGGCTTGGTAATCCGATACGTTTAAAAATTATTTTTTTTAATGCAGGAGACTTAGGGTGATTGTCACTAGGAGTTGCGTACCTTGTTTTATTGTGTTACCGAGACTGGAGTATTTTATTATTCTTTTAATAGCCCCAACTTCAGCATACCATCATCGGTTTACATTGGACCTCATGTCGTGCAAAGGGACTCAGCCGTCCATTAAACAATGCTCGGCTTGAAGCAAAAGTCTCCAAATTAAGCAGCTCTCTCCCAGTGAGTCTTAGACTAGAGTTTAGGGGTGGGGTGAGGGGCGAGGAAAGTTTAACATTAATCTACAGTTTATGTAAAATAAAATCATGCAGATATAAATAAGCACATAATTACATCGTGAAATTAACTTCGCCTGATACAATTTAAAAAGAGGATCGTAGTATGTTGACTGTTCCATTGTCTGATTTTTTATTTTCTTGTTGTTAATAATTCCTTGGTAGTTTGAACTCTGTAGAATTATAGCTATGAACATTTGGGTTGAAATATTGGATATCTTTTACATGGAATGGAAGACTATACTAAGAATGTATTCTTGTATCTCTAGGCGTAGACTGTAACAAACAGTTTGGGAACCGCTAATGTCGGGCGTCTAATCTAGGTGCATGTGACTAATCACCGTTTTCTTCATTGCCAGCTAATCTAAACACGTTCTGGAATGTTCACATTTATATAAGCTTACATTCTAAACTCATACCTGAGTTATTAATTCACTTTGATAAGAAAAACAAATATTTACATTTATTTTAATTTACTTATGACCAACGTCACAAAAGCTACAAGAGCAATACATATATGTAAATCTAAAACTGTGAAATATTTTTTGGAACATGAACTTTTACTAGTTTACCTTACGTTAACCTTTTCTTTATGTAGGCCTCTTTTCTATTTTGGGAGGTTAAATTTCTTTTCTCGTTTCCATTTTACCCTCAATGCTTAGCCTTTCCCTATTGCTTAACTCAACTTGAACGATATATTTGATCAAGTCTCGACCCCAACGTCCTAAAAAACTTGGACAGAAGTTCATGAGACGAAAGTTTAGTGCTGACAGTGGGGCTGTAGAAGTGAAGTGTCCCAGCATGACCCAGCATGACCCGGTGACTGAAGTTGACAGGTCCCTCCAGTTTAAACGATCAATAAAACGTGCTTTACATTCGTGCTGGCATTGTTCGTTGGCATTCAAACGGTAGAACAATCGTATCTGTACCCGGTGAATTACTTCCCTTGATCGGGGAATTGTGTATTATAAATGTTAAATAAACAAACTTTGTTTATATTTTATGTAAAGACTGGTAAATCTATGTCGAGTAGGGCCTATACAGTAGCAGAGATAGAAAGGTGAATCGCGGGGTGGGTGGGTGAAAGTAGATACAAGGGAGGCGATTCTATGACAATTGGTCACCATATGTCACCGTGTGTCACCATCAAAAGACCTTAACGATTGTCCCGGCCTTGTCACCTTTCTACCTGTGAACACAGTGGGATGTCTTGGTCGGATGGTAGAGCGTACGTCTGCTAACCCACAAGTCTCGAGTTCGAATCCCTCGTTCGTATCAGTAAGTACTTCCCCGAGTCCACACAGCTCTGATGAGTACCTGACTCACGTTAAGGAAAGTAAAGGCGACGGGGTTCGTATTAGAATTTTAGTTTTTCAAAACTAAAGTCATATTAATACAAAACTAGCTCAGAATATGAAATGTCGACACTAAAATTTTAAAACATACCAGGCAACTAGGAGAGATTGTTCAAAACAGTGGCCTAATAGATGGAAAAAAATCGATTTTTATCATTTCTGTTTAGAAAAACAATATTAACACAAGAAAAACTTCGAACTAAAATGTTTAATTTGTAAGGGATATTGTTAAAACAAATAGCGATCTAGCACTCGGATATTCAACAAGCAGGGTGTCTTTAATCCCCCAACTTAAAGCTCTAAAGACTTGATCGATTCTAGCAGACAAAAAAAATACACAGAAAAATTATTCACGAGAACAAAATTCTATTTAAACAAAATAAATAAATAACGTTTCTATCTTAGGTCTTTTGTAGTAAAACCACGTGAAAACAAAGTGTCAAGAAACTTGGCAGTGAGAGATGATCGATTCTGGATGCTGGCATAAATTAAGAGCATCGTTCATTCTAAGGCAGCTGTCGTATTTGGTGAGGGGGGGGGTGGATTATTTTTGTTGACGCGAACGAAACACGTTTTATGTTTGGTGTACATTTCGCCGCCCGAGTAGCCATACGCATATAATAAAACAAATATAAAAACCTTTGTACTAATACGTTTCAAATGAACTGAAAATAAGAAACAAATTTGCTTTCTATAATAAAAGCTTTGGTCGCTAGAACGAAATAGAGTTTATATATAGAAAATATAATATATACTTTTACTACTGACCACCACCCCCTCCCAGAATATTTAGTCCCTTCCCCTGAAACTTTCAAGAGCCCATACCCTTTTCTCCTTCCGGGGAAAATAGTCTCAAAAAACACTGCCCAAAATACGCAAGACATCTCATGAACGACCACAACTTTTTTTTTTAAGAAAGCAAGTTTATTTTAGTTTCTTCATTACAAATCTTATATTTGGTTTATTCTCCACTTAAATAATTCGTTCTAAATAAAGTTGACACCACATAGGTTATGACTAAGACTATTTTGTGTGTGTGTTAAAGCCTGACCAGTAGCTTGCAATCTCTAAAAGACAGTCATCTACCGACGATCAGATAAAAAAATCACTCATCTGTGAAAAAAAGTTCACCGTCGAGGGGGCAGCTGATAGAGTGATTGCTAGTGTTTAATTAATCGAGCTATCCCCCCCCCCCCCCCCACTTAAAAAATATTGAATATAGCAATTTTTAAATTAAATTAAATGTCCTATTTAATGTTTTATATATATATATATATATATATATATATATATATATATATATATATATATATATATATATATATATATATATATATATATATATATATATATGCATTGCCATTGGACTCGAATGTAGCTGGAAAGTTCGAACGAAATCGCTGCATTTAAGTTGGGTCAAAACGAAGTTATAAGATTTGCCCACCGCATAAACAGACGCTGACGAACACATTTGTAAGAGAAACACGCATTATTTCGCTTCTCCCTCCACCCCCCCCCCCCCCCACCCCACACTTCATATTATTTAGTTTCTTGCAATATCAATAACAAATAATATAATGAGTTTCTACAAAAATTAGATAAAATACGTATAATACAGTTATTTTGATCATACGTGTTTTAATAAAATTTTCAAACACCATTTTACTGTTGGATCAAACCACAATAATTTCTCTACATTTGAGTAACCTGCAGTAATTGGTTATGTTGAATTGTTTTGCCTTTTTTCCCAAATAATTATTTTTTACCTAAATCATTTACAACGTCCGACTTGTTCAAAATGTCACGAAATACCAAACAATCAGATTTTTACAATCTGTTATTTTTTAAACGTATTTAAACTGTGTCCGAAATCCCGATTAAAACTTATCCATTTACTAAGTTTTCTGAAATTAGTTAAAAACTTGGCAAAACATTTGTTTTCCGTAATATTATCCCCCCAAGCAATAATTAGCAAATACTGACAATTGTTTTAATGAACCGCATCCCGGAGTTCATGAAATATGCAACACGCTTTTCTAAACTTTCGGTTTCAATGGAACCATAGTTGGCAATAGCTGACAAATACAAGGTAATTAATTCTTTAAATATTAAAGCGAAATCAAATATTGGCCCCAAGATAATGTTTTTATTGCTTTTCTCAGTTGTGACGTAGCCTGGGTTTCTTTCAAACATTTTGTGGTATGGTGAAGTGGTGGGGGGGGGGCACTTGAAACTATCGAGGAAGGGCTCGGACAATGGTTAAGAAGTATACATTTTCTATTTCAATTTAATGTTTTCTGTTTCGTCCTGGAGGGTGTGTGTGTGTGGGGGGGGGGGGGGGGGGGGCGGTGATTGTTACTTCACTCCCAGGAGAGCTGCCTGAAAGAAACACTGGTCTTAGCTCAGTACATTACAAATTGATCTAGAAAGTTTTGGTAGCCTGGATACAATAGATAACAACAGTTTTGTTTTACACCGACTAAAACATATTAAGCTATGATTTGTTTATTGATATTTTTACCACAAATATAATATATCTCTGGGTTAAATTTACAACAGCGAAGTTCTTTTAAGTAGGAAATCTTCAAGGGCTTTTAAAATAAAACGAGATTCATAAGTAATGTAGACTACAAGAGTTATTGTTCTTGGCTCCAGGAAAAAAATAAATCATCTCTTATTCAAGACATCGACCAAGCGAGAGGCAAATCGGGTACACTCCCCCAAAGCTTTGGGCTCAGTTTGCTTGTAAATTGATCATTCTGTTTTTTGGTTGCCTCCCTTGTTCGAGTAGGTTTGGAGAAGTTTTCTGGAGCCAAGGACAATAACTCGTGTTGTTTACATTGTACTGTGAACAAAAGCTCGTGAAATTGATCTGCGGCTTGTGAAAACAGCCCGCACTTTTTGAGGATAAAACTGGCAGGGGAAGACATTCAATATTACTACACATTTCGACTCTCTGGCCACTATACTTGTGATAATTTTATTTAATTTTATTTTCACTTGTGAGTTTTTTACTTGAGGTTATTTTATTTTTACTTGTGATTATTTTACTTGTGATTATTTCACTTGTGATTATTTTACTTGTGATTTAAAAAAAGTGTAATTGTTTTGCTAATCAGCTTTGTCTTGCGATTATTATAGTTGTGATATTTCCAAGTAATATGTCCTTATATTTTAATTGTGCGTATTTTACTTGTGATTTTTTTTCCTTACAGTTAATTAACAAAGGGATTATTTTTTCTTTATATATATCCTATTCAGAAATATTTAACTTATGATTAATTAGATAACGAATATTTTCATTTATTTATTTAGTTAAGATCTCTTCTTGATGCTTTCTAATTATATATATGATAATTTCATTATTAACATGTTATTTTTTTAACTTTTTAAAATCAGGAACAGAAGTAACAGATAAGCCGCGACCACTTATCTCCAACCTGAGTTGTATGTGACATGTAATATAAATGACACCTAGCCTTAAAGAAATGTGACAGTGTACGTTTCATAACGATCTCACATGGATATTTGCTAAATCAATACAACGACCAGGTTTTTTTCAACGTCAACAGTAAAAAGAAATATTACTATTTTAAAACAGTGACTTCTTGGATTATGATTCCAGTCTTGTATACTGAAAACTATTCCAGCATTTAAAGAAATGGCCCACGCTTTATCATTGCGTAATATACGCATGCGCATTGAGACTGAAGATCCTTTGTATTATGGGCAGAAGAAACTCAAGATGCAAGGTCGTGACCTAGTGAATTTACCTAAAGCAGTATTTAAAATCATGGAGCTTGAGGTAAACGGTTTAGATTTTTCTGAAGAAGACATGAGATTGAAACTTTAATTTTAATGTATTTAATGTTCATGTTGCCTAATAGCAACAGTATACTGTAAGAGATTAAAATCATGGAGCTTGCGGTAAACGGTTTAGATTTTTCTGAGGAAGACCAAAATCAAAACTTTTATTTTATTTAATGTTCATGTTACCAAAAACAGCAACATTATACATTTAGAGCTTAAAATAGTGGAGCTTGACGTAAATGGTTTATATTTTCTGAGGAAGACCTAAGATCGAAACTTAATTTTAATTTGTTTAACGTTCATGTTGCAAAATAGCAACAGTATACTGTGTGAGATAACAGAGATTATTTGAAGGTACAGACTAGACATTGCGATTGAAGATAATTTTGTTCTATGTACAGGTTCTAGACTTGAGTCCAGAGCGAGAAGCCTGTCTGGACTACAAGCTACAGATGTTACCAGCAGAGATAGGGAAGCTGCTGAATTTATCCACGCTTATACTGGACACCAACGAGCTACTGGTGGTAATGTTGCAATTTTCTAACCCACCGCTCAACACATTATTTGATACATAAGGTATAGGGGTCGGTTTCTACAGAAATACAAACATTGCAGTACCGAGAGCGATGTGGCTACACATTTGACCACTGAGAGCTGGCGTTTGTCGTACAATCTTGATTGCTCTCTTGGTAAACACCATTTTAAATTGAGAAAGTGCCCCCTGCGGCAGCCTCACTACTTCTTATCAACTTAAAAATACACCAGGCAATGCTTGCGGTTCTAATAATATAGTTAGTTATGTTAAAATAAGTATCGAGTGTTATTAGTAACATTAAAAGACAAAATATAATTATATTTTTATCTATTTTTTTTGCGTCAAGCTAAGTAATTATACGTATCGTAAAGGTAAGTAATTATATGTATCCTAAAGCTACGTAGTTATACGTATAGTAAAGCTACGTAATTATGCGTATCGTATAGCTACGTAATTATAATGTATCGTGAATGTAACCCGAGGACCTCACTTGTTTACTAATACATCAGTTTACATTTACAATATCATCACTTACTCGACGCTTTAGGCTTAGATGGCCTTTTGAAACCAGCATTTAGAGCTGGAAAGATTTCAATGGATCGTTATTAATCTGTTATATAAATAATTTTTAAAAAATCAAATAAATACTTTGTTATTCAAACTAATTTTAAAAATTCTATAAAAATATATTAGTTTGTACTGTATTGGTATAAAAATAGAGTTACTTCTAAGCCAACGCCTAGTAAGATGGCGTCTTAAGATCCTTTAATACCCATTCATCAAATGAATATCTATCTTTGTATTGACACAAAATGGCAAACAGTGAACAACATCAATTAGATAAACCAAGTCTAGATTGCTTAGCCATTTCCACATTGTAAGCAAACAATAATAAACAAGCAAACATTTGATACAGTAGTGGACACAAAGTTTGATTAGGATAAACCGTTTCTTTGACAAGGTATATTGACTTGACAAGGCAATCTGGACCAAGGTGTAGTGTCGCTGTGGAGACGTCCGTTTATTTACTAATAGACTGGAGTACAATTTCAGGATAAAATTTGATACATTCAAGGGTGACATTCACTCGCATGGGAAAGTATTGCCATATATATATATATAGGCCTATATATATATATATATATATATATATATATATATATATATATATATATATATATATTTATTTATTTATATATATATAAATATTAGGGCTTCAGCTAAAGACCGGGCACCGCCGGGTTTGTAAGCTAGTATATAATTTAAACATTCAATACGTTTTTGCAACGGGATCCTTTTGAAATTTTTTGTTGAGATTAAATATCAATTCCCTTCTGTTTATTTGAAAATACATTCAAGCAATACAACCACTCACATGTTTACACAGTAACACTAAGCCAAAGCTCTAGACCCTTCAAGTATTAACTGACATATCCAGTTGGGGCTTATCTTATTTTATTAAAAGCCATAAATTATCCCCCCCCCCGTATGCACATGTGAAGCAATAAAAGCCACGATCACACGTCAACACTCGGTGGATGGTTCTCAAGAAATGTCCCCAGCCACATAAAGTTCCTCATCGACTAGACATCTGATATGTGCAGTATTTTAAAAAATGTTTGCATTTTATTTTAGATATGACTTTTATTGCGCTTTTGGCGGTCGTTAAGGGCGTACCTTAAGAGAACGTTAAGCAATACGAATATTGAGGTAGTGTTTCCAGTGGTGTGAGAATGGTGTTTTCTGTTGTGTATACGATGATGATTTCAGTGGGTCTGATGGTGTTTTCAGTAGTGTACGGGTTTTTGGGGATCCGCTGTTGAAAGATTGGTTCTGTATCGGGTTGTCCCTGTGTGGCATGCGAGATTTTGGAGATCTTGTGTTGGGAAATTGGTTGTGTAGATATAGGGTTGTCATTCAGTTGCAGTGGCGTAGGCAGGGGGGGGGGGGGCGTTAGGGGGGTTCATAACCCCCCCATAGACCCCTCGGTATATATATATATATATATATATATATATATATATATATATATATATATATATATATATATATATAAGTATGGGGGGTGCAAATCTAAAGTTTGAGGGGGGGGGTGCAAATCGAAAGTTTGTCCCCGGGTAAAAATTGGACCCCCCCTTGAGACGATCCTAGTTTGTGTGGATCCTATGTTGAAAGATTGGTTGTGTAGATATAGGGTTGTCATTCAGTGGTGTGTGGGGTAATGTGGATCCAGTGGTTGTCAGATTCAATATGTAGATATAGGGTTGTCATTCAGTGGTGTGTTGACAGATTGGTTGTGTAGATATCGGGTGAGATCTAGTTGAAGGTTGCTAGACCTGACGGTCCTAGTTGAAAGTTCAACACCTGCATACACAGGATTAGGGGGATAAGATAACCACTGATGATAACACCTTATCGGAATTTTGTTACCTTACAGACTTAGAGTATCAATTCAAAATGTTGACATATGTGGTATATTATGAACTATTTGGTTACTGACCATATGGTTTTTACTTGACTAGCTTCACCCATCATTTACAACAGCCACACACGTTGAGACATTTGATTTTAACAATCGTATTGATGAGAAATATTTTCATTCAATAAAACATATTGATCCGTTTCATTTCCTTTGTCAATATAGAAAATATACACATGGTTTTAACTACTTAAACCAGATCAATATTTTTCAATATCGTGGCATCTCTGTTGCTATATGACAAGATGTATTTTATGTTTGTATGAACTGAAACTCGGCAAGTAGAGTACATTTTGAATAGAGAAACAACTCGGAATAAATAAAGTATTTTCATCTTCGTTGCACCTTGCCCTGCCAGCTAAGGTTTGGGTTATTGTATGAAACACTATAGAGCGAGCATTGTTAAGTTCACTGTTCAGCACACATAGTTGATGAAACCTGAATAATCGACCCGTTCACAACGTTGATCTGACGATTTCCATTGACAAAAACAGTAGCTTGTCTATGAGCCACATCATTCCATTTCCACACGGGCCTCCATTCTAAAAGTGCGAAATGTCCTATCATTTTGTACCTGCATCTCATAAAGTGGGACAAGTTCGATTGCAAGTCTTTAAAAAATAACATTGTTCCCGTCGGCAACTCAAAATCTCTGTGTTCACTAAAACCCAGACATGGAATTTTCTTTTCTAACCCCCCCCCCCCTCCCCCGCCTCCCACCCACACGCTGTCGGTCCAATTCAATTTCACACTGATCAATAACCATTAAATAACAATCGTATATGACGTAATAAAAATGTCCGCCTGGTAGGGCTTTCATATTCATCTGGTCAAGTGGTTCTATTCCCATGCCTCAGAACGTGATTAATTCTCACTCAACGGGAAACACAAAGAAGCTGGCTCTTTGACCTCAGCCGCTTTCATTTATCCTCACTTAAATCTTGTCTAAATAAAGAAAGCGCTGTTACTTTTTACAAGGAAGCAGCATTATATATATATATATATATATATATATATATATATATATATATATATATATATATATATATATATATATATATATATATATATACATATATATTTATATATATATACACACACATATATATATATATATATATATATATATATATATATATATATATATATATATATATATATATATAATATAAAGGCATAGGCTTTGGCTAATGTCTGATTACTTTAAACTTACAGTGTATTTCTTACATAGGCCGGCCACTTCACGAAGTGGCTACGACGCCCTGGCCAATGTTTATTGTAGTATACGGTGCGTTGGCATTTCATTGTAAGCAATTCATTTCTTGTTCCGGGTAGTAACGTCTGATGCTTGTCTTGCAGGTGCCAGTCGAGATCACGCTACTGGTGAACCTAGAGAGGCTCGCCCTCAGCAACAACCACCTCACAGAGCTGCCCAACGGGATAAAACGCTTGAAGAAGCTGACAAGTCTACACTTGGCCAACAACAAGTTCCAGTTGTTTCCCATGGAGGTCTGCGACATTACGTCCCTTGTTTTCCTGGATCTCAGCGACAACTTGTTGAAGGCAAGTGCTGTATTGTTGTGTTTCGGGTGATTCTTGTTTATGTGCACAATTTCCTGCTGCGTTTTTTTTTCTCCGGCCACAGTGCTGATGTTGTAAAATTGTCCCACTGTAAATAATTTTTTTTAGAAGGGGGGGGGGGATGGGGGGGGGGGGCAAATCTTTGAGGGGTAGGCACTGCCCTCTCCATCTCGGGACAAAATTGGGGAAAAATAATATATGGAATATATGTATATGTATATATATATATATATATATATATATATATATATATATATATATATATATATATATATACTTAATCAGTGTTAGCTTCCCCGAAAGTTTTAAGTGACCCCATCCCCTTTGGAGAAAAATATCTGGAAGAAGCCTTGATTTAAAGTGAAAGCGTGTGCTAAAAACTTAAAGCAATATAGTGAAGTATAGTGAAATTATAAAATAACATTACAGCGAGTAAAATTTTCTAGGGCAATATCCAGGATTATTGCAACAATACCACACACACACACAAAACAACCCACTATGGAAATGCAGTTTACGCATTATTATCTTGATTAAAACCATTGAGTTAAATCATGCCTATATCCGTGGTCTAATGCGGGAACTTTGCTAGTTTCTGCATGCTCTTTTAGTCTTCGCGCCTCCACCGCGCCCCAATGATACAATGAACAAAATAACAGCGGGAGCTCCAGTATCCAACCAAGCGTAAAATTAACATGCCAGGGGGAACAATCGAGTTGAGAGGCAGGACCCTCGAATAAAGAAGATTAGAGTGAATGCCCGCCTTTCTTTACAAAGGGCTGGCGCTTCCGAGTTATTCTTTTCATCTGTAATTGTTTTTTTTTACCAATCAATAGAAGATTTGAATTATTGTTTCATTCTGTTCCGATGATGAGAATTGTGTGGGGGAAACTTCGGTGGGTGAAGAGTAGGACAATTATATCCAATAAAATATTTTAATAAATAATAAAAATTGACCTTTATGTTTTGTAGCGGATAGTAAATCCTAGAACAACATCTATAGTACTGTATTATTATGGATCAAATATTGTAATTAGAACAACGTTGTATTATTTACAGCTAAACAGGTTTCTAAAAAAAAATAATTATACACTAATGTTTAGAATGTATTATTTCACATTATACAAAACCATTGTTAAATAGACAGTTTTATTTTTTTTTACGTAAAAACGGCAATAGTAATACTGCCATTCAGTACCCAATAAAATTCTACAAATATTAATTACAAAGGCTTTCTTCATTAAAACAAAGAAAGAGGAAAAGCCATTGAGTGTAGAGTTACCTTGGTCAAGTTCAGAGTGTCACGGGTTGCTTGTGTCTTGGCGTGATCTTTCAGCAGACGTCCCCTAGCTACGTCACAACAACAAAATACAGCTTTTCTAGTGTTCAAAACATAGTAGTGACTGTGTGCTCTAACTAATTTAAAAAATAAATTCATATTCGAATGACTAAGCACGCAGAATAATACCATAAATAATATTTGATTGAGTTATTGAAGTCGAATTAAAACATGAAGGAAAATATTTTCTTGAAAATATAATTCACGTATCACCTTCTATATTTAGACAAAAATTTATTTAATGGAGCGAGAAAACATTATTTAAATTAACAATCGCTTAACTATCAAAAGAATATCAAAACCCATAAAAGTTTCTTAGAATGATTCAATTTTATGTTAAGTAGATTCTGTACAAAATAGCAAAATCCAGTCAACGAAGTAGGGCTAATCTTTAGTTCCGGTGTACTTGTCCAATTATTTGAATGCATGCCATACCATCAGTTATAACTTTACATTTTTCAACATCCACACAGCTCCTACCCAAAAGGATCAGCAAGTTGAAGAACCTGGAGACGCTTCTGTTGTTCATCAACCAGCTGACCAAGCTGCCGGACACCATCGTCCAGATGACTGAGCTCAGGTGCCTCTGGCTGGGCAACAACCAGATCCGTGCCCTACCCAAAGGGTTTGGGTACCTGACCAAGCTAGACTGGGGAGAAAGGTGGGTCCTGTTTTACAGTGTTGTGTTTGCTCGAGAACTTCTAGTAGGATGGAGATTCGATAGGAAATTTGGGGTGGATTGATACACAGTTCATAAAAGCAACGCAAGAAAAAGCTAAATTAATTCGCGTAGAAATGTGGCTATTTGAAACAATTTTAAATATAGTAGCAAAAAAAGCAGAAGTCGAGGAAAAAGTACTGTTAATTAAAGCAAGAAGAAGTGCATCACCCAACACTTGTCGACGGGTGTAACTTGGGGAGAACAGGTGGGGAGGCCGCTCCGAGCGCCACCCCTAAAGGGCGCCAAACGTCATTCCAAGTTGCATTTCTAAATTATACACAGTAAAAGTAAGAACAAAGCTTTAAAGAATGATGTAGCCTATCAAAAAGAAAGAAAAAATGTAAATGTTTACTTTTGAAAAATTGCTTTATTATTTGTTTTCCTTTTTCCCGTCACTGTTCTTGGCTTGATCTGAGTTCATTTCTATGGCTGTTCCACTTTACCAATTCGAGTCACAGAAAGACTAACTTAGGCAATTAGCGTATAAAATTAGTTTTAATTAAACAGTTACAGAATCATAAAAAAAAGTAATACCCTACAAAAAAATCGGTGAAAAAAACATAAGGCAAAACTTATCATGACTTGGCCATCACCATTTACGCAAAAGTTTATAACAATGTTCTATCATTTTCAGATACACATCTTCAACGCTTGATGGGAATCCATTGACTAACCCTCCCCTTGAAATATGCCGACAAGGTCCCTTTGCAATAGAAACTTACCAAGGAGTTGGTCCCAACATTGACGCCCAAAAAGAAGCCGAGAAAGATGCCAGTTCTAAAGGACGAGGCAGAAACAGAGCATCATCTGACGCGGCTAAAAGTCTTCAGAGCTCAGAAAGTGATAAAAGTAGAGGATCCATTGATGCTACGGCTTTCAGGCGAGGTAGGGCGCCATCGGACGCCGCTAAAACTCTCCAGGGTTCGGAAAGCGAAAAGGGCCGGGGGTCTATTGACGCTTCCACCTTCAAGAGAGGCAGGGCGCCATCCGACGCCGCTAAAACTCTTCAGGGTTCGGAAAGCGAAAAGGGCCGGGGGTCTATTGACGCCTCCACTTTCAAACGAGGTAGGGCGCCCTCGGACGCCGCTAAAACTCTTCAGGGTTCGGAAAATGAAAAGGGCAGGGGGTCTATTGATGCCTCGACTTTCAAACGGGGCAGGGCTCCCTCTGACGCAAGCAAATCTTTGACAACACCAGAAAAAAACGTTAAAGTCAACCAGAATATCGACACGATCAAACCCAAAGTGTTGCCGCAGATTGGGAACGATCATAGGAGATCCTCCACGAAAGCTTTGGAAGGAAAGGAAAACACACCCAAAATAGGGAAAAACTGATTTGTCTGAAATGGACAAAATCTAGGCACACAAGCACAGGGCCACAATTTTGTTTTAAAACAGGACAAAAACTGATAAATGCTGTTGATTTTTGTTGTCATACACGCACCTACATAGCTACAAGTCCAAAAAAAGTCACACCAAATAAACTGAATCCTAACCAAACGACTGGCAAGCTATAATGTAGCTAAAGCCAATCGGTAAATTTTCATGGTCCTATTTTTATGCTGCAAATTTTTATTTTGATCTAACTGGATTCAAATTATTTTTAAGACTATTTATGTTAACCTGGAGAAATAAATAAAATAAAAAAACCAATAATGATGAGCCGTAATTGGGGCAGATTAACATTATAACAACGATGTAGTCTAGCATAAAGTGGCTGCCCTTTGGTGAGTCTTTCCCACTGTGTTATCTAACAACGTACAAGACAGTAAACATATTTCTCTCACAGAACTCAGCTTCATTTCCAGAAAAAGCTACTGTCTCTAGAATATAATAACTGGCCTGTCCATGTCATTTTATTTATTCCATTGTGATATTTATATTGATTATATATGTTTATATAAAATAAATGCTTAATGCTTATGATAAAAAGGATTGAGTTGGATTTTTAAAAGTTAAAATGCTATAACTATATTTCAAAACCATTAAAGAAAAAACTCAGTCTGAGTATTAATGATAAATCTGAACATTGTATAACACAAAAAGGGAAACGTTTAACCCAACACATAGCACACTTAGCGTTACATATCAAATTTACAGACCACCACCCTTCAGCTTCACAGGGTGGGGCTGGCGAAGTGTTCCGCGCCGGGGACACCATAATGGGGGTGACACCGAACGGACAGATTGTAAAGTAAAAATAAACAACGTATAATTCAGTTAAAAGAATTAATTACGAAGGGGGTTGACACCAAACTAAAAATGATAAATTGTTGACACCCCTAGTTATGGCACCGGTGCTACCTGACCTTGTGACGCCACTGCCACGTCATCAAATGTACTACATGTAGAATGTCTAGGAAACCTTCTCCCATTAAAGAGACACAATCTCCTATACAACAAAACATTAAAGGGGCGCAATCTCCTCTACAACAAAACATTAAAGGGGTACAATCTCCTCACAACAAAACATTAAAGGGGCACAATCTCTCTACAACAAAACATTAAAGGGGTACAATCTCCTCACAACAAACAATTAAAGGGGCACAATCTCCTCTACAACAAAACATTAAAGGGGCGCAATCTCCTCTACAACAAAACATTAAAGGGGTACAATCTCCTCACAACAAAACATTAAAGGGGCACAATCTCCTCACAACAAAACATTAAGGGGCGCAATCTCCTCACAACAAAACATTAAAGGGGCGCAATCTCCTCACAACAAAACATTAAAGGGCATAATCCTCCCAAACTAAAACTTACGGCGCACACTCTGGTGCTACACATTTAGTGCTTAAAAAAAGGAATATTTTTATCACGTGATTTTAGAGAAACTTGTCAGTTGTCTCTTCGTTACAAATGATTGGACATACATATATACAACTTATACTGTGTTTAAAAGAAATAATGTGTAAGTCAGTAGAGGCAAGTTAATGGTCCAAACTTTTAACGAGCAGAGATGAGAATACAATAAATATAGGCAATGGCATTGCTATATACACCACAGCTACCACAAATAACACAATGTAACATAATAATAAACCTTTATCGTGTAGTACAAATTTAAATTGAATAGGCATGATACTTATCCCAAGGTGATATGTTAACCTAACCTGACCTAGCCTAGCATAACCTAACCTAGCCTAACCTAACCTAACCTAGTGTTTCGAAGAGATGCCTGATAGAAACTCTGTTCAATGCCCCCTCCCCCCTAATAAAAGTCTTAAGTTATAGCTATCGACGACAGCACACTCGTATCATTTTATGTTTGCAATTTAAAAAACAACAACACAATTTTACTGTTTTAAAATTTGTTATAGAATATACAAAATTGCCCCCCCCCCAATCATGCCAAAATCCTTCCAACGCCACTTTTAAAAACTACATTATACATTGGCTGTGTATCGGATATCCTACCCCACCCCAGTTGGACCACAGACGCAGTAGCGTACGCAGGGGGGGAGCAGGGGGAGCGGCCGCTCCCCCTCTGGCCATTTTTAGCAAAGTGGCGCCTTTTTGGAAACTTTTTAAACTCAAAGTTTTAAACATTGATATTTGTTAAAAATTATCTTTGGTCGGCACATTTGAAACGTAAATCTCTGTGAATATTGTTTTTTTAATAACCGGTAAAAGGTGTGTGAGCAATACTGTGATTTAACCCATACCTTCACATTATGTTAAAAATTATCATTAAAATACACAAAAAGTCAGTGCTATTTAATGTGTGCATGATCTGAAATATAAGACCGATATTTAGGTTATATGTAGGCTATTATTACGAATGTTTTACTTCTATAGTGAAAAGCTGGATTTTATACCGACTCTGATTTAAAACAAGTTAATTAAAACGTCTAGTGACAATTGTAGCGCAATTTCCTTATGTTATCTAAAAATAGCTCTGTCGTAGCGTAAATCAAGAGCAGGGTTAGTAAAACCATTGGTTAGTTATTAAAACGTTTTTTATTTTTAAAAAATTTCAGTATTTTACATGTTTTATTTACAATAGAGTTACATGACTAAAAACCATTGCGCGCCTAGCTACTGAACGTGATGACGAAGCCATAGAACGTGATGGTGCAGCTATTGAACGTGATGACGCGTGTGGTGTGATTGGAAAAAATGCCTACTAATTCGGTCCAAATTTTAATTAATTCAAAAAAATTTTTGTGACCGAACGAAAGGATATTTTTGAAAACTTTCTTCGGCAATATTGTTCTAAATTATGGCAGGAATCGATTGGTACATGTTTCAAGTCGCTAAGTGGTCTGGTTGCCGAGATATGGGCCACAAACTGCTTTTTTCCGAGGTTTTTTGGCTTTTCCGGGAAATACATGAAAGAAACCCGGAATTTTTATGGCCTATGTTCATCCTCGTAACTTGCTTAACATAATTGCTTTTGGAACTAGTCATCGATATTGCTTCGTTGAGGAGGAGATACGACTTAAAGCTGCGGACACACATCCATCCATCCATCCATCCATACATTCATACATCCAGAAATGACGGGTTAATAAACGCAATTCTCCAGAATGGAAATTGCGCTAAAAACTTCCATTATGCTGTGATACTTTTGCATTTATAATGACAATATATTGAATTAATTATTTAGACAAATACTTTTTGTAAAATCAAATAGTGTTAAGCTACTTTATTAGATTCTAAAGTAATTATTGACTTGTTTTGATATTTATAATAAAATGTGTAGAAATATACATATTTATATTAAGATATTGATTATTTCCCCTTTTCGCTAGTCTTAATAGATGTCCCAGGAATTATTATGTAATTTCTTTTACAAGAATTACGTAACAGATTATGCCGCGTTCATTGTTTTTGGTTGTAGTGTGTTTATATATATATATATATATATATATATATATATATATATATATATATATATATATATATATATATATATATATATATATATATATATATATATTTGTTTTTGTTTAGAGTGATACCATATTTTTTTGCTTCGTCGGCCTACATTGTGTGTTTTTTTTAATTTCTTCCGAGTGCTTATTTAAATTTATTTTACATCATATCGAAGCAATAACACACACACACACACAAACACACACACATATATATATATATATATATATATATATATATATATATATATATACTTATATAGAAAATATTACAAATTCAGCGCCTTTTTTGCTATTTCCGCTCCCCCTACAACGAAAACCTGGATACGCCTCTGCACAGACGTTTTGCTCTTTTGTCGTGTGAACTAATGAGAGTTATGTTTATATTCACATTTTACGACTTATAAGTAGATCTATTAACATTTTAAAAAAAGTATATAGATCTAGATCTAGATCCATTTTATCTGTTTTATTGGATGAGAGTATTGAGAGGTGGTGCAGCAGTGACAAAAAGTTTGACCCAGGGTGACAACTTGTAAAAAGAATAAGAAAAAGTTGGTCGATAGTGAAATGACGATTTTTATTACAGTAGTAGTAGTTAAGTTATCTAATATTCCGACAACAGATCATAAAAAATGATGTTTTTTTCTTTTTAAAATGAAGTGTGGTATTTAATAAAATTAAAACTTTCTCGTTTATTTTTAAATCTTGAAGTGAAACAGTCCTAAATAAAACTTACTTTCTGAGTTAAAGAGGTCTTCGGTGTAAAGTAAGTTTTATTTACAAGAGAGCTTTTCATAAACCACAATGGCATCTACTACATCAGCACAGCAATGGGAAGTTGTAGGCAAAGCAAAGCCGAAAAAGGCAAAGCCTGGCTCCCAGGCTCTTTCAAAGTCACAGAAAAAGCAATTGGTGGAGAAAATGCCTAGGATCGAACCGCTGGGTAATTATTTTAACCCCACTTCATCAATTTTCTAAAGTGATAAATTGAAATTCTCCGTGCTACGTCATCAAAGAATACTGAAAGAAGGAAAACGTAACCACGTAGAAAGATTGCCCCGAGTGGTGCAACGCAGCTGTTACAAAATTAATTCCTTTATGATGCCTTTATCCGTTAGGCCCTATAGACTTTTATTGTCAGTTTTTTTCCAATAATATTTTGATTATTTTATAAATATGATCTCCTTTAAACTTTAATAAGTCCCTTTGAGAAAATAAATAAAACTTAAAAGAGTTAAGAGTTAAGAACTTAAGACTAAGTACTAAGTAAGTAAGAAGACCTAGTCACTAATCTATTCTAAATCTAGACACTATTATTCAACTACTAAGCTAGAATCTAGAAATTCCAGATTATTTCTATTACAAATGTTTCCAATTACAATACAATCCTTATTTTTAACTATCATGTATTTCATTAGAAAGAAATGATGCAATATTTTATGTCTGCCCAAAACCCAGTGGCTTCAAAACCGTTAGAATGAGACTTTACTAATTGAATGGCTTAGAATTTATATTTAAGGATGAGTTACTATTTTTATGGCTAACAGTAATATAAATTGAAAAAAGGGAAAAATTATTTTTAAATTCTGTAGGTATAGGCATAGGCCTATATTGTTTTAATAATGCATACTAATTTAATTTATCTTTGCTTAACAATTCAGGTCCAGTGAAGGAAGATAAAACTATTTATTCTGCATTCCTAGAAAAGGAGCAGAATGCATCCACTAGTCGGCAGACTAATGGCCCCAACAATGCTGCTGGCAAAAAACCTGTTGTTCAGAAAAAGAAGAAAACTGAGGACGGAAAAAAAAATGAAAAATTCATTCCTCTTGATACTGCTATATCCCAGGTGCTAAATTGTTGATTATATTTTTTAGTTTGAATAAACTCGTAAGGCATTTTGTTTTCAATTATTTTTCACTCATCGTATCTTTGTTCAAGTCCTGAGGCTTCAAATGTATTTGAATCCAAATACATGAAAACAAAGTGAATTTAAACTATGTTTTGAAAACCTATTCTGAAATCACAAGTTGATTGAGCAAGATTGTTCCTTTTCTTAATTATTTCTGTAGTTTTTATTAAGGCTTATCTGTCATGTGCAAGTAAAAGGCCAAATATCTCATACTTTTATTTCAAACAGTTAAAAAGAAATAGATTGTTACTTTGTTTAATTGACTAATAAAATTGGAATTATTGTTGTAGATGGAACATCGTGAATTGGAAAACATTCTAAAGGTGTCCCAAGAAAGGTTCCCAGAGAATCAAGATGTTTGGCTTAAAGATTTGGCATCTTTTCTTAATTTACAGCTAGAGAGGGTTAAGGAAACTGATTACACATTCAAGGGAAAACCTATTGGTAAATTATAATCACTCAAAATTTATTTATTTTATTTTGGGTTTAAAATTATTCATCAATATTGTTATTAATGCCTTTTCTACATTCTTAATTTTCTAGGATACCCATTTGAAATCATGCCTCAAGGATGTCAAAAAGTTTTGAATTCAGTGGTGAAAAAGTATTCCAACCAAACTTTGGATAATCTATATGACTACTGTATGCAAATGATGTTAATGGAGTCATCAAAAGGTGGGCTAAAATAACAATTGCAGTAAATGCATAAGCATTTTTATTGCAACACATTAGTAGGTTTATACATAATATTTATACCAACTCACAATGTTTAATCATCATTTCTTATCTGTTAAGGTTATCTTTATATTTATTATCCTTTACAGGCACATTCAAGCTAACAACAAGAAATGTTTTGTTAATTGTGTAAAATATATGTATTTTTAACAACACTTTATTTAATATACTTTTGTAGATCTGTCAACTATGGGATATAGAATTTTTCTTCAACTGTTGGCCCACCACAAGCCTGATATTGTCTTGGGAAAAATTCATCAGGTAGCATGTGTTTTCCAAATTTAAAAATAATGCCTGTTAGGAAATTTTACTTTTTTAAATGAGTTATTCGATGGTAAATTTAGGATTCAGAAACATTTAGATCTATTTGTTGCTCTTACTGGAGTGAATTTTTCAAGAAACCAATAAATAGAAGTATAGAATGTTATTTAAGGAATAGTGCCTTATCTTAAAATGATTTCTATTAGTATTTTTGTAAAATATAATTTTAATGTTGTATACAGTACCTGGAACTTCTGAAGACTCATCAGAACAGACCATCTCATTGTCTGTCAATTCTGTGGGCTGTTGGGCAGTGTGGAGTAAAAAATTTAAAGTGTGGACTTAAAGGTATGATTTATACTCCATTCATTTGAGTTATAAATTTTTTCATATTTCGTCACTCAGATCAAGGTTTTGTTTTTAGTATTATTGTATGTAACTTTTATAATTATTTTCAGTCTGGCTAGATTTGATGCTTCCTGCACTTGAAATACGCCAAGCTGCTCATTATCCAGTGGAATATCTTGAACAGCTTCTTGGGTATGATTTCTTAGTTCATTTCTTATATATTTTTTAATAAAATTACTCTTTTATAATAACAGCTGAAATTAATAAATTTAAATGATGAAAATAGGGTTTGATTTTGTCGAGTCAGTGAAGCTCATGGTTGCTAAACTGAAAAGTCTCGAGTTCAAACCACGAGGTAGATGAGGCAGCTTGGGACAGCAACTCTTCTAGGAGAGACAACTCCAAAATCAAACAACTCCGGCCTTGTAGTTTGTTCTTGGTTGGACAACGGCTTTGGAAGCAAATCCAAAAAGAAAAGCAGGCTGAAATCAGAATCAATGGCCCATAACAAGTTGACATTTAATAATTGAAATCAGAATCAATGGCTCATTGGCACATAACAAGTTGACATTTAATAATTGTGTTGGAGGGAATCCCTTCCAGCATTAAAAATTAATAAGGAAAAGAAGAAAAGATATTGACCTTAAGATAATTTTGCAAACAGAGGAGAATTAACATAAAACCTGTTTTTAGGTCAAGTCGTAAAGTTGCAGCCTTTGGCATTGTGACATTGAGGGAGTATTTCCAGGTCCTTGATGTTGTATTCAATCCTAGCTTTAACCTTGCTGGGGATTTGCGCAAACGATTGACTGTTCTTTATCCTCAGATTAAGGTAGTATATTATTCAAATTTTGTTTTAACATGTTAATTAAGATTTTGTATTTTCTTCAAATATTCTATAAATGTGTTTATATTTTATAGGAACTTGCATTTGGAGAAACCCCATCTCACAATTTGAGGACATTTTTTCCATCATATCTTGCACGATTTAGTCTGCCACTAAATCAGGCTTTGAAAGCTGAGGTAATTTAATTTCTCTAGCTGTTTGTATTTGTTTGCACTTTCATCTTGTTACTGTTTCACATTTTACAGAGATTACCATCTAAAAGGTTAGTTGTAATTTTTACAAATGCTATCAATTAAGGTATGTTTTAATCTTTATAGCTCTTGGATTGCCTTGTGAAGTGCTTAACTACTGACAAACAGTCATTTAGTGTATGGTGCCAGCTGTACACCAAACACCTAACTGCATCAGGGTGAGAACACTAATTAGCATGTCTGTTTTAATCACACAATTATTCATTTGTTTTTTGCAATCCCATTAATAACTAATAACTTTGATATTTAAAGAATAATATAATTGCTTGGATTCTATTTATTATTAAATTATTCTTTTAGACAGGTTTTAGTTAAACCCAAAAAAAAATTTTTTTCTGTCTTGATTTTTCAGTAATCTTTTGGAGTACATCAATCATGAATGGCCCAAACTGGCTCCACAGTTTGACAAAAAGCTGCTACGGGAAACTGTAAGATCTTTCTCAGTCACCAATGATGAAGTTGAAGCACAAGGACGTGGCAACAAAGAAGGGCTGGCATTGTGCCAAGCTGCTACTAAGGTCTGTTCATATTTTATACACAAAGTTTAACATTAATTTGAATCTACCTAGTAGACTCACCTATATTAAAATTTGTCTAGTCTATGCTTATTCTATAATAATTCTTTATTACATAGTATTGCAATTTATAAATCATCATGTTTTTTGTTTCAAAATTATTTGAAGGCAATATTTAAAATTCATTTTGAATGAAATGTTTAAGATGTACTGCATTTTAAAAATAAATATTCTTCCTGCCCATCTTTTCAGAGTAATCTTTCAGTTTCATAAGTATTTCAGATAAAATCATTAAGGAATAATCATTTTATATCTTAAATTTGAAAATGCTATATGAGACTGAAAGATAAGAAAATTCAAGTTAACAGGCATGTTTATTTTTAAAAAATGGTTTTAGTTAGTAAGTTTTTTTGTTGTTGACAGGAGTTGACAGCCAAGATTAACCACAGTAGCTTCCCTTGGGGTTTGCTGATATTTATCCTTGTGTCTGTGGTGACATCTATTGTGGTGTATGATATTATGTCAAGCCCCAAACTTGGCTGTAAGTTAATTTACAAGTTTAATTTGAGTTTAAAATTTGCAGAAATAGTCTAAAAATATGTTCAATAATTATTTTGTTTTACTGATTTTACAGCTTCAAGGACCATGCGGTTCGTAGAAGACTATGGCATTTTAGCCCTTTTGGATCAGGCTTGGAAACGAATTCATACATTCACCACTATTGTCACTAAGTGAGTTTATTAACATTATTTTCAGTTGTTTTAGCCTAATTGCAAGTTTAGAATTATATTGCTAGAATGGAAATTTTAAGTTGTATTTGCTTCTTCCAGTTTCTCCAGAGAGTTGATTTTGTATTTTTAGAAAAATGTTTTGTAAAAACACTCAAAATGGCAATTTTCGCACTGTGGAAATGCATTTAGTGGCCATACATTTCAATTGTTAAATATAAAATAATTTAAAAATAATTAAGTATTTGTATTCATCAAATATAATCATGATTCAAACAAGAAAATGATGTAGTCTACTTTTGTTTTCTACAAACAAAAAACTTACTAAAAATATTTTTCTTACTAATTTTTGCTTAAGTGTAATTTTTTGCAGTGAAAAGTTTTATCCTATCTAAAATAAAGTACATTTTCTATCTATAAATTACTACTTAAACTTTATATTAATTAATGCTCAAAAACAATTATTTTATATGAGTAATGTTTTGATTTTAAGTAAACCATTACAAAGATGATTCATTTTGATACCAAAAAACAACAAAAATAATTTCTGCACAGTGTTCAAACTAATTGCTGGCTTGAAGAGTTAATAGGCCTACACTAAACAATACAGCAATTAATGTTATTAATTAAAACATGTTTCAGCTGGATTAAGGTCAACTGTCCAGTTTACTATGCATATGTCCGGGATACTGTTGGTCCATTCTTGGCCCTTGTTTGGGTTTCAATAAAGGATTTCTGTGTGGCCACAGAGCTGGCAACAAGACCTCATAGAGCATTGATTGGTGACAAAGCATGGAACTTTTATCAGTGGGTAGGTATTATTTTTTATATCAATAATTAGTTTTCAATGTTCAAAATTAAACCATGGTAGTTAACAGGGTTTTAAAATGCAAGCATTGCCAAAGAGCAAAATAATGCATTGTTATGAACCATCATCATGTTTTCCCGCTTGTGTCCAAGACACATGGGACAGATGAAGTAGAGTTCATCTGTTTCAATTAACTCAGTATGTGAAGGGATAGTGTGGTCAGCACTATGCCAAGGCGACTTGGGTTCCCTAATGTGAGTCAGGTACCCATCAGAGCTGGTTGGACTCTTAAGACAAATTACAGACCTTAGCCTGGATCCAAACTTGAGACTTTCAGGTTAGCAGTCGTAAACTCTACCTTCAGACAAATGCTTTTCCCATTGTTATGAATATAACTGTTTATCAGATAAAAATTTATTTTCTTCAGCTGTAATGTTTAACTGCCTTGAGGGAGAAAAAAAAGTTCTGATCTATTTTTTACAGCTGCCTTTGTAATTGTTTTCTATTTGAAGATGTATATCTTTAAAGGGAATGTTAAATTACTGTATCTAAATAATGATTTTTCAAAATGTATTTACAGGCTTACGAACTTTCGCCGGAAACTTGGAAATGGTGTTCTGATGTTTTAATACAGGCATTAGAGATTGCTAAGGACTACAGTTTGTTGATTTGGAAACACACTACACACTTGGCTTATGAGGCCCATCACTGGGTCACAGAACACCTTTTAAGGTGAGCTCTTCTATTATAGAGGCTTGAATAACTCCAGATTAAAATGTACTCGAAAAAACAGCACCCTTAGTTTTAAGGTATTGCTACTGTTTTTTATGCTGTTTTGTTTACAGTGCATATTTCTTCTTTCAGTGGTTTGCTGTCTCAAGACTCTCTCAAGGCCACAGCTAACTGGAGCATCTCCCAGGTTCAAACATATATGGAAAACTTTTGGTCTTGGTGCCATGCAAATGTTTTTACTTTGGTCAAGTGATCTTGCAATGAGATGTGGATTCAATAAATTGTTCCTTTCTATGTTGGTTGTTGTTTTTTTTTGTTGTCAATTTTTGTTCTGTTGTTGACATATTTACTATGCTGCTAAATTGATACAATTTTTGAAAAGCTGGTCTTGAGTTGTAATTTTTCAAACCTGTAGTTACTTTACAACATATATTTTATCCAAAGCATTTAATAGTTGATCTCTTTTGCCATTTTTCATTTCCAGTTCTTTAATGTTTTTTCCACAATGTTATCAATCCTTTCATTAATGCAAGCCCATTATGCATTTGATGGTTTCTGTTTATGTGTTATGATTTTTTTTAAGTTTAAAAACAAAGGATTGTGTTGTTTTTTTAATTAAGTTCTTTTACTATCACCTTAAAAAATGTTTATAGGATTGGAACAAACAAGCTAATTAAAAAGGTTAATTGTTTTTAGTTAGTCAATTGAAAGCTGCTTATTTTATTATAAGCTTAAGAAAACAAATCTTTAAGCACAACCCGTTATGTCCATTCAATAATTATTATATCTGTGATGTTGTTTTTTTTCAAAGTTTAAACATAGCTCTTTTTTATTTTTTCCCCTCTGCTTTGCTGTAGTGAAAAGAACTGTTATTAAAGAAATTGCTTTTTTTAAAGATTTACTTTAATTTACCCACTGAGATTATTGACTTAATTTAAGCTTACATAAAGAAAAGAACTTTGTGTAACATTGGTATGGGTGTGTTTTATTTTAAAAAATGGTACACAGTGTAATTTAAAATGACTGTTCAGTCATCTAGTTGACTTTTATGTTGTTTCCTCACCCCACCATTGTTTTTTGTACTACTTACTTCAGTACATGTAACTATTATATTAATATCATCAACTTGCTTTTTTTCTTCATAAAGCCATTTTCAGTTATTTGGCTAAAGAACCACTTACAATAGAGTTTCTCCACATCTCATGATTTATTATTCTAGTTACCTTCTTTGTAGTGTAATTATACTTTACTCCAGCTGAACACTGACACACTATGTTTATAAAAAATATTAGGAATATTCTTGTTCATAAAATAAAGTCTAAAAGAAAGAAACTTAAAAGAATTGTATTTTTTATAACATTTAATAAACAGCACTTATTACAAACAATATGCTCTAGTAATCTTTTTGTAGATCATTTGAAATTCAGCAGATCAAAGAACGAGTCATATTTTAAGTAATCATCGTTAGTTTTTTTAATAAGCCTTTTGAATTGGTCTTAGTTTTATCTATTGCCAAACATTATTACAATAAATAGAAAGATAATGTTTATCATATGCGTAATGTATAATAAGTGATGAACTCTTAGATTCAGTGTCATCCCAGTCTTGTCAACTGTTTTCTCTAAGTTTATAATTAAGTGTTCTCGTTCTTCCAATGAACCAGCCAATGAATCTTCATGGTTTTTATTATAGTTCTTCCATTTTTTTTATCCCACTGAATGTAACTTGTTGTGATGTAGTGTTTATTGATGTATTTGACCAAAATGTAGACTTATAATTTATTGTTATGTTCCATATTAAAACTTACTTGATTGCAAACACTATCTCTTTTGTTCTCCATTTACTGTTAAAATATTTTTTTTGCTAGTTATATAAATTTCAATTAATTATTTAAGTTTAAGAACATACCTTTAATTTTAAGGATGATCTATATTTAAGTTATTTAGCCTATTCATAACTTTAGTTTATCATCATCATCTTTCCCTGTGTCAGGTGAAGTAGAGCTCAACTGTTTTAGTGATCTCTGCATACAGGAGGATAGTGTGGTAAGCACAATGCCATGCTGACTTAGGGACAGACTAAAGCCAGAGATTCAAATGAACTTGAGACTACACTACTTTCAGGTTAGCAGTCAAGCTAACCCCCTAATGATTTTAGTTAAGCCTAGATGTATATAAATCTTACTGTTTCTGGCCTACCGGCTTACTAGTAAACATAACATCATCAAGTCTCTAACAATAAATGCAATCATTTGTCAAAATCCTTTTTATTCAACTGAGCAAGTATTTTGACCATTGAAGGGAGAGTTGAGGAAATGGGAACTGAACTTTTTTTTCTAGCGGTGCAGATGTGTAATGAATTCACTAATTCTTATAAAAGTGTAATTTTATTTAGTGTAGTGAGGTTAGTCCCCCCCCCCCCCCCCCCGAATGAAATGGAATTTATATAGAAAATAACAGTGTCCGCTCCCCCCTCCCACAAAAAACTTTAGTCCGCACCCCCTCCCCCTCTCCCGGAGAAAAAAAGTCTGGAAGAAACACATATTATATATACAAAGAGCTGTGACTTTGATCTAAATATTGGTTAATCTACAATAATTGCTGTACACTGTTCATATTATTATTATTCTAGTTGTTGGCTTGTTTAGTATTTAGTAAGTATTGTTTACTATTGCAACTCTTCAAGGATTAGGAACTGATTGTTTGTTTATAGTCTACTACTGTCAGGAAAACATAACTCTAAACTTTCCTGTTAACGTCATCTCGATTCAGCCGACACAATCACACACTGCACTACGTACTACACAGAGTGCATAACCATCTGTAATTTGTAGGCATATCCTAACTGGTCAGCAAACTCGACAATAGGCCTAACTTGAAGCAGACACAAATGTAGAGCTAGATCTAGATCTATATCTAGTATTACTAGTATCTAGGCTATTATTAGTTGATCAAAATAAAAACTTTTAACTTCTGGATTCTCTAATTTAATTCAAATTTAAATTCAAATTCAAATTTATTCAAATTCAAATTTCAAATTTAATTCAAATTTATTCAAACAACGGTTACAATTGTAGGCACAAAGGCCTTTTTTCACATTGGCCGTTCAAACAAATAAAACAATTCAATAACACATAGCAGTACTAACTAACTTACTAGACGACTAGATCTAGAATCTAGATCTAGACTAGATCTAGAATTCTAGATTTTCTAGATCTAGATCTAGCTAGACTCTAGTCTAGTTTTACTAAGAAATTCTAAGTCTAAGAATCTAGATCTAGAAAGTCTAGTAGTAGACTTTTCTAGAGATTCTATCTAGAAATCTAGATCAACATTATTCATTTTTTATTATTTATCATTAAAATAAATTAAAATTCATTTTTTTTTTGCAGACTCAAGCAAGGCCTTCCCAGCATGAAACTCAACTAGAAAACAAGCCAAGATAAAAATGGACGATTCAGAAAAAATAAATTTGCGATACATCTATGTGAATTTAGCAACAAAAGAAAATATAATTGCATGGTTAATGCGTTTTGGTTTAATAGCTAAAAGATATAAATGTCCTGTGTGCCATGATGATATGAAGTTCACAGTGTCTACAACTACAGATGATGGGTTTGAGTGGAGTTGTTCAAAAAGTGATGGGACATATTCGGATAAAACAGTTAGATCTAGTTGTACTGAAAATCACAGTATAAATAGAAGTTTGAGGAAAGGAACAATATTTGAAAAGAGCACCTTGCCTTTGCAGGACATCATACTTTTAACTTACTTGTGGTGTAAAAAAGTTAATTTACAAGCTATGATGAAAGAGGTTAAAGCTTCAGAGGAAGCTATTCGAGAATGGATGACTTTTTGTAGAGACACAACAGTGGAATTGTGCATGGCAGAAAATGAAACCATTGGTGGTCCTGGGGTGTTAGTAGACTTGGATGAAGGGAAAATCAAGAATTTGAATTATTTGCAGGGTCAGAAAGTGACAGATAAATGGGCTTACATAGGGGCTGAACAGGGTAGCAATAAATATTTTATTTGCATTGTCCATGAAAGGACTAAAGAGGAATTGTTGAATTTCATAAAAAATTATATAAAGCCTGGGTCAGTTATTCTGAGTGACTGTTGGAGAACATATAAATGTTTGAAGGATAAGAACTTTCTTCAGGCTACTGCCATTCACTCTGTTGAATTAAAGAGTCATGGAACCTATACAACATTTATAAGGAGGATAGGAAATGGTGTGAAGAAAGTGACAGCTGAAGGATTCAGACATGTAAATGGACACTGTGATCCCTATCTGTTGGAGTATTTTTGGCGCAGAAAAAACACAAAAGGGAAACTTATATTCAATGCATTGTTAAAATCTGTTGCTGGCCTATTTCCACCAGATACTGAAGATAGTGATGGTAAGCATTTTTAATAACTTTGTTACGATTTGTTCAGCTATTTCTTGCTTTACACTGTTCTGTTATTATCTCCAGTATGAAGGTAGTTTATAGGTGTATGAAGGGATGTTGTGGCCTGGCATTAGACCGCTGACCTGAAGTTTTGAGTTCAGATCTCAGACTTAATCCCCATAGCTCACCCAGCTCTGATGGGTACCTGACTCACATAAGGGAAAGTCAAGTCCAGCTGGGCATAGTTAGTACTGACCACACTGTCCTTTCATATGCGGTAGTCACAAACAAGTGAACTCTACTTTTTTTTTACCATCTGACCTGAAAGTGTAACTTTTTATTTGTATAACAAGTTTTTTTTTTAGAAAAAAACATACCTTAAAACACAATGCTACTCAGTCATTAACATTATTTATCATGAAATCAAACACCAGCATTTCTGTTCACAGTAAAAACTTTAAAAAACTTAAAATACTTTTTGTTTTGTTAAATTTAACAGACAACAGTGCTTAATTTTTCATTTGCATCCAAATGTTAAGCCATCCCTTCCATCCCCCTAGAGGACAGTTTAATAGCAGAAACATTAGAAATATAAATTATACATTAAAGAGGGGGTGTAGAGTCAGGGGTAAGCGACACTAGCTCACCAGATAGAAAGTCAGTCAGTGGGTTTGTGACACTCTGACTACAGTTGTAATGGGTAGTTGGGTAATGAGTGACCAAGATGGATGGTGATTGGCTGGTAACTGGGTTTGTCACCTTAGTAACATCCCCGACGCACAATGATCTTTTAATAATATATTAATAATATTATAAAAAACGATTTTTAAAGTCATTTTCCTCGTGGTATGAACTTTTTAACATTTAGTTGTTGTGTGTGATTGAAAATATCTAAACTCTAAACCACATTTATTACACCATTTTTAAGCTGGTTATGTTATTGCTATACATACAATACAGTAGACACTTATCTGTTGGCATTCTCTCTCTCCCCCAACCCGACTCCCCCTACCCGACTGGAGTAACGTATTTTGGGATCAGGCTTGTTGACTAACGCTCATAGATGTTGATATACATTTGAATGAGAACGAGTCTACATCAATAACTAATTAGCTGCAGCATGATGTATTGCTGTGAGGTTTCAGAGATGTGTTGTTTAGTTACGAGTTACAGAACAAGATTCAGACTTATAATTTATGGTTCAAAGGTTGTCTTGTCAATATTTTTATTTGTTTATACTTTATTCTCTCCCCCCCCCCCCCCCCCCAACATTATAACATGAAATTATAAATCTCCCCAAACTACGTTAAAATTCGATGATCGATTAAAAAGATTGGGCCCTGCTTAATTGACCGGACAAAGCCCGTGACCTTGAGTTGAACTTTAACCCCTCATATATTAACTCACCCTGTTTTGTTTGCTTCTGCTAAAAATAGCTCGTGTTTTTTTCCGCCCGTGTTGTTGCCTTTACAAGAAGAACTGTGTTGTTTTGTGTGGTGATGCTTTAGTTTATTGTAATGAATGTGCCCTTGTCGCAGAATTTGTGTCAGCAGCCAAATTATTTTGTAGGCATACAGGTGGACTGGTTCAAGTTTTAACTACTCTCGGACGTTGGCTCATATCTCTATCACTGAATCAGTTTAAATTTAAAGCTAGTCTGTTTTCTTAATTCTATAAACGTTGGATTCTTCAATTGCGCAACGTTTTTTGTAGCAGTTTTCAATTTAAATCAATGTCCTATTAATATAATAATAGGCTATTAATGACTACTGCTGAGTGTATATTAATGCTCTGGCCTACCAGTGTCCGATAATGCCACAATGATGTAATCTTAAAAATGGGTGAGATTAATCATTATGGTAGTTAATGCAAATATGACTTGGTAACCAACTCTAACCCTAAACCAGTCATACCATAGCCCTATCCTCTTAACTATAACACTATATCTATCTGAGATTACAAGCTAGTAATATTTTTACTGATAACTTTTTGAAGAATCTATTGTTTGAGATAGGTAATACTATCCAAATATTTATCACTGATTTTAATTTCTTTATTATTTTTTACCCCCAGAGTCATCTTAGACAGTTTTGGGCATTCTTCCTACCTAAAGAGTTGTTCCAGGCATCTATTGTATTCAGTTGTTGGATTGAGTACAGATATAATGCGGGATGATTATGGATTGTGTACCCAAGTTTTATCCAGATAAACATTAAAGAAAAATCATGGGAAACTCCAAACCAGGCCGATTTTTCCTTTATTCAATGCTTGTCTTCTCCCTAAAGGTCCCAATTATTGGAAGCTGGTCATCTAGAGTGAAGAGAAGCAACAATTTCACATTTACTCTCAACCTACCTTATGCAGATGAGACTAATACATTCTCTCTGTTAGAGAATGTACAAACCAAGTTGATTCTTGGTCTCATTGAGATACAGCAAACAGACCCTGATTCCTCACTCAGTATTGTTTGTGCAACAGATAGTGAGTACTTAAAGATAGTGAAAACAAACCAATACATGTATACGATTGAAGTGAGTAAATCTCTGGACTATGAGACACAATCTCGATTATACGTCACTATTGCGTGCAGTAATGTTGAAGCTCCATTCTCACGCCAGGAAAAATATTTCACAATAAATGTTCAAGATGTTAACGACAACGCTCCTAGTTTCTCAGAGCTTTTCTACCTTGCTAATGTTACCGAACATGTAGAAAATAATTCTTATGTAACCAGGGTCACAGCGACTGATGCAGACTCTGGAATCAATGCAAAAATATTTTATTCCATTCAAGGACTTGATGGGTTCAGCATTTCCCCATTTGGTATCAACTCAATCACTGGGGAAATAGTTACCAATACCGACATAGACAGGGAAACAGCAACCAATTTTAGTTTTTTGGTGGTGGCTACAGATTCTGGTAAACCTTCATTAACTAGTACAGCTAATATTCTCATCACTGTTGAAGATATCAATGATAATCCACCAGCTATTCTGACAAAAGTTCTGTATATTCGTGAAAACCAACCTGTTTTGACTGAAGTTGGTTTTATAAAAGCCTATGATGCTGACTCAGGCAAAAATGCAGATGTTGAGTTTAGTATTATAAATGACAAAAATTCATCCCTACCACCTTTCACTGTTAATTCTAATGGGCTTGTATCTACCACAGCACAATTAGACCGTGAACAGCAGTCCAACTACTCTATTGTTGTCCAAGCCAGCGACAAAGGTTTCCCTTCTAAAACAAGCACATCAACAGTCCTTATTCAGGTAAACGATGAAAATGACCATACCCTAGAATTCATCAGACCTTGTGGGGCCAATGAATCTTTGTCATGGACAAATCATTCTGATGTTGACAGCTATGTAACAGTAAACTGGCACGAGCCTGCTGGTGACAGACTGGTATTTAAAGTTGAAGCTACAGATGATGACATTGGGGAAAATTCTGATCTTCACTTTAACCATTAATGTCCCATTCATTCTACCAAAACTCCACCCATGACGGCCCAATGTAAGGAGCATAACTCTGTATGATCAAGTGAATAGTTTCACAAAATATTTGTTTTTGTCTAAATGAAATTTAAATTTAAGATAAAAACTACTGCTTAATGTTGGGAATAAACCTGGCTTTCCAACAGTATTAAATAGAATATATTATATTCGGTACAAGTACAGAATAAAAATAAAAAATGTCGGAGAAAATTCAAAACTGGTCATTTTCGGTAGTCAACTTTATTTATTTTTGTCTAAACAACTATGCATCGAATTTAACAGTTAAATATCAATTTGGTTATGTTTAAGATATATAATTCATAAAATACATGCCTAGATACGTTTAGAGGCATTATTTTATTTTATTTTTAATATTAAATCTACTAAAAATAGGACAGATGAGTCTAAAATTTCGAGATAGAAAGAAACTTTTATTTTTTATCTTTCAAAAGCGCCATTGAAATTAGAAGACCGGAAAAGGATGCTGAAAGTATCCGACTTCCTGTTTGGTTAAAAATTAGGATTTGTAGACCAAATTTTAATGAAACAAATTTAATTTTTCTATGCGTATTGTAAGCGGGCGGCAGCGGGCGTTACGGGACATTAACGGTGTCGGGCGGCAGCGGGCGTTACGGGACATTAATGGTTAAAATAACTTCCATAGTTGGAGAAGGGCAAATATATGATGGCAATAACATGATGTTTAAGATAAATGAAAGCTCTGGAGTCATCTCACTTAGCCGCAATATGCGACGGGATGATAGCTTTCTGCAGAGGATCAACATAAGTGTATCTGACCATGGAAACCCCAGACGTACTGCATATTGTGTTTTAACAATCAGAATGCAAGTTGACATTAATGAACTGGTTACACAAAGAGTTGCTGCTCATAATGGTGTAGACTGCATGCATTGTTGGGCCATCTTTCATCACATTCCTAAAGCCTTAATTTTAAAGTATGGTTTAGCTGTGGTCTTTTTTTACACATTGGTTCATTCTTAAAAATGTTTCTTAACTACTATTAAAAAATTGTTCATAACACTAACACCTCTTATATTTTTCCATTGGTTTTATTTGTGACTATATAAATATGAAACAGTAAAACAATTGGTTTTGTGTATTTTCATATGGTTGTATTTAGTTGCTGGAACTGTAAGATTTTAAAAAATTTAATCTGTCTGGAAGTACGTCAGAATAGGTTTTTGTTGTTGTGGAAAGCAAAGTTTTTAAGTTATTTGAGTTTAATAAAATATTGATTGTTGGCAATATGTGGTGTTTTCATGAGAATACTGTAAGATATGTTACCTGTTGTTTTATTGAAAAATAAATTACTGAACATTCTTTTTTTTCTAAGTGCGTTTTAATGTACATAGTAAATTACTAACTGTTCAGCCACACTGGAATGGTTGGTTATTTTTCTTTTAGCTGAAGCAATTTTAACTGTTGTTTCCCATTCAATTTCTTAGTTAATTAAGAAAACTGCTACTTTTAAATGACATCTAATGGTAACAAGCTTTAGAAAAGCACCAAGCTTCACTACTCTGACTACTCAGTTTTGATACTCCTGCTAGACAAATTGAAAGAAGTTTTATTATTTTATCCCAAAGAAATTTAAAAACGAGTTGTTTTTTTGTGTTTTTATTTAACATATTTTTTATAACCTGCACTAAACAATAGCACTTAATTACGACCTTTAAAAAAAAGGTTTATAGTATTGTTGTACAAAATGTCAGCCAACTGATGCTTGTCTTCTTTTCGGGCACCACTCATTACTTCAAGGACTTGCCTGCCAATAAATAAGTTTTAAAATATTTTTAAATAATGGGAAATAAGCTTGACATATGGAAAACAGCTGTTGGAACTAGGTTCCTTTTTTGGGATTCTTGTGCAGTAAGCTTTCTAGGAGTATGGTCACCTATTTTTTCAAAGGCAAGTCTGTTATTCACAACCAGACAGGTAATTAGTTATTAAAAGTTGAAGAACAAGCTCAATTTCCTATTATTAAGTAAAGTAAAGTTCCGCTTTCAAACCTGATGGCCTATGGGGTAAGTGAAGTAGAGTTCACTTGTTTCTGTGACCTCGGCATATGAAGAGATAGTGTGGTCAGCACTATGCCCAGCCGCCTTTACTTTCCCTAACGTGAGTTAGGTACCCATCAGAGTTGGGTGGACTCATGGACGGTCTACTGACTCGAACCCGGATTCAAACTCGAGACTTAAGGGTTAGCAGTCCAGCTCTCTACTGCTAGGCCACTCCGCCCCCTAATTTCCTATTAAACCTATACCTTAATAATACAGAATGTAGCAATAACAAGTTTGGCATGGGGATTATTTAAAAGAATACAACCAACATGATAGGAAGGAGACTAAGTACTAAAATGATAATGTTACTTACACAATTGTACATGGCTCATTTCTAGATTTTACACAGCAATTAGGATCATATTTTTCTTTTTTCTTGGAATCAAAATGAGTTGTTATATATTTAAATCCAGCATGTGTGGACCTTATTTCACAGTAAGGGCAATCTAAAAACAAAAGTTGAAGATAGTAGAATTACAAGATGTCAACACGTAGAATTATTTGAAATTAATTTGAAATGACCAGGGTGCTTGAAGAAAAAAGCGGGAAATGGGTGGAAAAAAGGGAAACATAGGATGGATGATAATTATATTGAAACCAAAAAGTAGGTAAAAAATAATAACTAGTTATAGCTTTACAATCATGTCCACAACAATCATAAAGGGTTAAAATAAATAAAAAATTGTTACAGATATAGTTATAAACTATAAAACAATTACCTGTCTCAATCATAAGATTTTCACTAGGTATTGAACACATGACATCTAAGTTTTCTTGAGATTTCAATGAGCTGAAAAGTATAGGGTATAGTAAATGATTTGTGTGTTTGTGATAAATCTGATATTAAACACATATACTTAATTGATTAAATTTGATTCGATGAATTCTGAGGTGGAAGATTAGATCTTCTAACTGTAAAAAATTTAATGTGGAATGAGAGCCTTCAAGTCTTACTTTTAATATTGTCATGTTGATACTTTTACAATTTTGAAAAAATAAGAACATACCAGCCATTAATACCAATATAGAATCCTAAATCTAAAATTGAAGCAGCTTCTTCTTTAGTTCCAGTAAAAGAATGTACCTGAAATAAAAGAAACTTGCAGTTGAATTTTGCAGTACTGGAAAAATAATGAAGGTGAAATAAAACCCAACACACTTTCCAGATTTTAAAATTATGGGATATTTCTTTTTTATTTGTAAAGTTATCAACCTACCTAACACATATACAGTAGCATGTGTATCAGGTAACGCCTATGATGATTTTATCATAACTTACCACTCCCCCTGGTATGTTGTCCCTATGTTTTGAAACAACCGAAAGAAATTCTGAATGGGCAGCTCGACAATGAAAAAACACAGGTAACTTTGTAGCTGAGATTAATTCCATTTGCTTTTCAAAATACCTGTAAAAAAATTAGAATATTGTTTAATTATAATTAAATGAATTTGAAAATTATAATAATAACTTTATTAATTAATTTAATTTAAAAATAACAGTTAAATAAATTATTAAAAATCTATTTTACTTAATCTGAGCATCTTTAGGTGCAAAATGCAGCCTATCAAAGTCTGAAAATAAACAGAATACATTACTAAACATTTCATTAATGCTCAAAAAGGTATTAAATATTTTTCCCAACATAACTGATGCAAAAAACTTCATTGCTAAGGGGATATTGTGGTGGGGTGGAAGAGCTTATGGCTGCTAACTCCAAAAGTATTGTATATGAGTCTCATATTTGGGGTGAGCAACCCATTTAGGAGAGAAAACTCCAATACCAAAAAACTGCTGCCTTGCAGTTTGTTCTTGGGTGAACAAAGGCTATGAAAGCAAATTTTTTAAAAGTAGGCTGAAGTCAAGGGGCCATATGACGCATAACAAGTTTGGAAACCCCCATTAATATAATGCAATTTAGAACATGTATAAACTCACCTAGCCCCATTTCACCAACTGCCACAACTTTATCTCTGTTGTCATTAGCAAGACTAATCAGGTCCTGGAGATAAACATCTGGATCTTGACCATCATTCTCAAATTCTAGAGATCGGGTTGGATGGCAACCAACAGTGCAATACAGGCTGTCTAAGAGAAATGATAAATTTGATAGTTTGTAAAACATTATTTTGAGATAACTACTGGCTTGCTTAAAATAACTTTTTGAATTTTAGTCTTACCATCAAATTTTGTAATGTCCAAAGCTTTCTGAGAATCTTTCAAAGAGCCACCTGTAACAATTATCTATGCAAATGCAAAGATTTAACATCATTGTCTTATTTTAGTTTTAATAAGTCTCTATTTAATTGAAAAAACTTCCTTTGTTAATAAGTATTTGGTTTAAATGTGTGCTCACTGTGATTCTTTATTAGTCAATAGAAGTAATAAATACTTAGAAGCATAAGCTCATTTTTGTTTTCTATTTTCATTATGAGTAAACAGATAAATTTTTTAAAATTACCTTTTCTACTCCATGCTTTTTTGACCTGTTAATAATATTTATTAAATCATCTGAAAATTAAAAAGTTAATAATAGTTATTAGGTTAAATACTAACCCAAAATTAGGCTATATTTTTAAATAATAAAAAAGTTTATGGACCATCAGTTTTAATAGTAATTTATAGCACGTGATGGCTTTGAAGAAATGCTTCATTAAAATAAACTTTAACTAAAACTAAATGATAATATTTAAGATTACCTTCATGAGCTTGTTTTCCGTGATAGTTTCCTCTAAAAACAGAATCTGTAATTAAAATAGTCATACACAAGCTATATGATAATTAATTATTTAAGCATTATCATATCATCATATTGATCAATTTGGCATAAAAATTGTATGACCAAAGTAATTAAAAAAAAAGAAAATTAAGAAGTAGAACATATACATTATTCCCTCCTGTAAGTAAATTTACCTGATAAATTAGCTCCTATATCTGAAGATCCCAGTGTCAGTGAATGAAATACATGTTGGATGAAAGAAAATTATACATTATCAAATCATAGCAAACAATCTTTTAATTTATATCCAAATTGAAATTAAGTTTGCCTAAAAGAAGTTGTTAATATGAACTAACTAGATTACTAGTTTGAATCAACATTTAATGGCCTAATTTTAAAGTAATTGTGCCAATAGGCATAACCATAGTGACTGTTGTAGCAGATAGCTTAATTTATAGTTTTCAGAAGAGTCTAATAGGACACCACTGAGAGTGAGTGGAAAAATGTCACTCAAATGTTCTAAGAAATGTTCTGGGCGCCAAACAGAGTATTGACAAAAATTAAACTCTCCCAGGCACTGCCCATAAGAAATTTAAAAACTTTTCTGCAGAAACCTTCTTGGTAGTATTCTCACCAACTTCTCAAAGTTTCATGGCACTCAGATGAACGGTGTTAAACCACATCTGGCTTTTAGTTATTATAAGGTATATTGAGAAAATCGCACCTGGAAGGGTGCGGCGCCATTGCAAAAATTCAACAACTTCCTAAAGTTTCATACAAAAAGTTTCCTAAAAGACACACGCACAATTTAATATATATAGATGTCAATTTCCCACTTCATGCTTAAAGTTAGTATTTGTAAAAATCATGATGTAAACTGAAAAGGTTGGAACATTCTTGATTCAATTAATTCTACTTAATTCTATTAAATATTATGTGTCAAAAGGAATTTAAGCTACATACTTCAGATTAATTATTTTAATTGTGTTATAAATATTACCATAATGTAACCTACACACATATAGCTAAATTTTTACATTGCATTTGATTAATTGTATGTTTGTATGCATTTTCTGAATACTTAATACATTAATCTAAAGTTTAAACTAGTTTAAAGTATTAACAAATTCCATGCAAATACGCATAAGTGATTTTTTTCCTAGAATCCCCATAAGACATAACATACGTCCACTCAGCTCCGATGGGTACTTGGTGTTCTATGCCTATTAAAAGAAAAGGCTATTATAATTTTACCTAGGCCTAATTATAATTACTATTAAGTTAATAATTAATTAGACATAGATCTAGGCATTCTAGGCCTAAACTTAGTTAAGTAGGCCTAATTATTTAATATTATTATTGGACACTATTGGTTGCATTGAGTGATTGAGTCACTTGAATTTGAGGGATTGATAATGAATAACTTATTCAATAAGCCTTCAATAAGCCTATGGTGTATGCTATATTGTATGGTATTGTACAGTTATAGTAGATCCTTGTATGATGAGTTTATGTTTTTAAATTATATTTTTATTTAAGCCTAATATTATTTAATAAATTAAAATGATATTGAGTAATTCATAATTGACATTGATTGATGATTGGAGTTGGTGTGGGTTGTAGCGTACAAAATGAATTTTTGAGTATTTTATCTTAAAATCATATGAGTTAGTTAGAGGAAGGATTAAGAATTCCATTGGTACCAAATTTATATTTCTAGCTTCAATAGGAGAGCAGAAATAAAAAAAATTCTGTTTAAAATGTATGGTCTTAAATAATCTCTGTAAAAAATGAAACAAGTGCGAAACAAAAATGAAAATTTTATAAAATATGTTTGCAAAATTTTTAAAAATTCTAATGATAAATTATGAATCAGGGGTGGTTCCTTTATGTGAATTTGCATTAATAATTGTGCAGGCTTGTTTCTGTTTGATGTTATGCTTTATTTTTAAGAATGTACATTTTTATTATGGCTAAATTATATAGGAAAAAAACAACATGACTGATAAAGGTCCAAATCTTAAAAAATTCATAAAAATGTATTTGTAAAATTGAATAACAATGTCAATTTCTTTACAAAATAAGAACCACAAGTGGTTTAACTCATTTTGCATAGTTTTGTTTGCAGGCAAGTGTTTACATAATATAATAAAGTTGATTTAGAGCATATATAAAATATATATATTGTTTTCAAATTACATTTTTTAAAGGCAATAATGATAGAAAATGAAAAGTAATTGCACTAATTTATAAACTAGATCTAGAAAACTAGGTTATAGTTAGATCTATATAGATCTAGCTGAACCTCAGTAGATTTTTAAAATGCAGTTGCCATGAGTTGCTTTTTCACAGTTTGTTTTTTGTGTATTGGAAATTATAGGCTGTGAATAGCCGTATTGGGGCTATTCACAGTCGTGACTGTTTTTTGATAGATTTAATGTTAAAAATATCTAATTGGGCATGAAGATGCGTGGTCCAGTGGTCATAGGGAGAGGCTGTCATGCCAGAAGGTGGGGCTTCAAATCCATCAGATGCCAATTGGTCTGACCCTTAATGTATGACTCATATTGTTATTATCAAAATATTTTTTTACAATTATGTCTAGATTCTACTTGAGTTACTCATGGGAGGGTTATTTTTGTTAATTTTTTTTTCGTTTGTGACGTAATTGTTGGCATTTCAGCAAAAAAAAAAGACCTGTCCCGTAGATTTTTGCTAAGAGAAATAAACCGGGAGTGATCTCCCCTAAACTTTCTCGAATATTCTAATATAACACTACGTGGGATGTCAACTCGGAATATAGACATGATTTTTGTTTACTTAAACTTTTAAAAATAGAATAAAATCTAGTAGAAAAAAAATTACGCACCAAGCGAGCACCTGATATTTATTCTAGATCTATGTGATAATGTGTATTTTTAATGGTAATTGATAGTTGAATAGCAATGTGAACAACCAAATAAACTGATGCTTAATTAGTATTATTCATTTAAAAATTACTAGATCTATTATTCTAGTATATAGATTTAAAGTGTAAAATTGATCATCTAATCATCCTTGACCTACGTAGCCTGTAGCAGATATGTCTGATATGAGCCTAAATAAAAGTTAATCTATACCTCATTCCCCAGTCACAATAAATGCTTATATTATTTTAAGATATTATTCAGTCGTATTTAGTATGAAATGACAGCCGACTGTGAATAGCCGTATTGGGGCTATTCACAGTCGGCTGGGAATAGCCCCAATACGGCTATTCCCAACCGGCTGGGAATAGCCATGGATAAATATTATATAATATATTAATTTAAAATTAATAAGAGACAGTGGTAAAAAAAAATTTAAAAAAAAATCAGTCAAGAGCTCTGGGCAGGTTTTTGTATGAAAATTATCTCCCTTTGGTCTAAAATGCTACATACAAAGTCACAAAGTAATTATAGTAATTATATTAAGTAACAAAGTAGATCTAGATCTAGTAGCAGTTGGAGTCATACCAATAAATTTCAACATAATATTTATTTTTTTGACAACGCGGCAAGCAAGAGTTGTTAAGATTCTCATGAACTAATAAGTAAATAAATTTTAGAATGTAAATCAAGTAATGAGTTCTTATTTTTTATCTAAAGAATATTAAATTAATAGGCCTATATGATATCATATGGAGTCATTCATATGAGACACAGTAAAATAACTAGGCCTAGGCTAGGCTAGATCTCTAGATTCAGTTTTTTTCTTGTCTTGAAGTTTACTAAAGGTAGATAGAATTTTAACCAAGATTTAGTAGTTACCTCCCCTACATTAAAACAAATAGTACAATATTGAAATAGATCTAGAATCAAGGTCGTTTCTAGGCCCTGATATAGCAATACACCAATAATTCTATTTCAATACATTATGCATTATATTATGTCTAGCCTTTAAAACAAACTCCACTTAATATTATTGTTTTAAAAGAATATATATTTTAAATTTTCCTTTCTCGTAACGTCAGGATGGCCGAGTGGTCTAAGGCGCCAGACTCAAGGTTAATACCTTCCCGCATTAGCGGGTGATGAGGCTTCTGGTCCACGAATGTGGGCGTGGGTTCAAATCCCACTTCTGACAATTCTTTTTTTGTTCTCTTTAAAAATGTTTTATACCACAAATAAAAATGTCTAGATACCGCATGAGCGACCAAAGCTTTGTTTGATTAAAGAAAATATTTTGTTTTTTTTTTTCTTAAAAAAAAAGTGCAGTAAAAAGGTTATAAAGATTTTTAAAATGTTTTTTTATTCACTTTACTAGCATTCAACTAATACTAAACGTTCATTTGTTGTGCATTGTCTACATAGCTCCTAGTCCTGAGCCATCAATCTCAGTTATGGTTCAACTTTCTGGCGACCAATGCTTTTATTAAAGAAAAGAAATTTGTTGTATTTTATTTTCGTGCTGGTAAAAGTTTTAAAAAAGCTTATTGTAAAATTACGATTAAGCCTATCATAAATAAAATTACACCACATTGAATTAATACGACTAAAAATATTTGCGTTGAATCCCAGTGAGTAATCTCTAATAGACTATCATAAGCTCCTCTTTAGTCCACTTCTAGGCAAATAAACATTTCACCATCCACTGTTTCAGTGATTGCCAGTATTAAATGTTATCTCCCCTTACATAAATGAATATAGTTATTTTTAAATTTAAAACTATGAACCTAATGTCTAATAGAATTAAAATAAAGAAAAGAACACTGCATATTTATTTTTGAAATTTTATTTCTCCAAAGACTTGTATTTAATCTCATAAGGAAAATGCATCTAATACATGATTGTGGAGTATGGATGATGTCAAAACAATGAGAAAAAAATGTGTAGGCCTATTCAATTATTCTGACCAATGCAACATTTTGAAGAAATTAATCTGTTGGTATTACAGCTCTGCACCAACAGCAAAAACCTCATTCCATTCTCTCCATCCCTGAGTTAATATTTGAATAACCATTTTAATCCAAACAAAAAAAGACTACATAAATGATATGTAAATCGGTCAAATAGGAACATTTTTTTGATGAACACAATTTATAGTGAATAACATTTACAATAAATTGAAATCATACAATATTATCACTTCCGAATAGAAAACATTTGTATTAAAAAATAAAATACATTATAGATCAGGATGTCACACAGCCTTTAATGATAATTGAGATCATCAAATTAAAGATGAAGAAATGTAAAAAAATCTTGAATTGAGAATGGTGAGATGTAAAATTGCATGTGACATCCTGATTGAAATAGTATCTCATTTGCTTTCTTTTGAGAAAATAAATCAGTAAAAGAAATATTTGTTAAGGAAGGTAAGATAATTAAGAAAATTGATTGAAATTGAAAAAAAAGGTAAAAACAAGTATGAGTAAATGAAAAATGACAATAAAAAGATTAGAAAAGAAATCTAAAAATTGCTCCAAAAAGCTGTACCATTTAGAAAATTTGGAGAAAGGAGAAAATACAAAGAGCTGATGTATTTGTGTAAGTTGCATTATGCTGAGTATTTTATTCTGTTATGAAAGTATTTGCACACATTTAATTATTGTAATGTATAATCTTTCAATAATATACACTAATCAATCTTATTTATCCTTATAAATCATTTATTATATGATGGTGTTTGTACTAAGAGGTATTTTATGAATTAAAAAATACACAACCCAAATTGTTCTTATGCACAGTACATGAATATAAACCTAAGATAGAGCAGTATTTGTTTTGGGTAAGAAAATGATCATTACATAAAAACACACTCATTAAAAATGCAGTTTGTTACGGTTAAGGTAAACCGAGACAGTTTGTTCAAAAGGTATAACAAATGTAAACAAATTTTAAGTTTATTCGAGTAAAAAATAATAACGGTAAATTGACTGAAAAAAGATATGTGGACAAAAAACAATAATCGTAAATCTTAAACTATAATGAGGTGCACAAATATAATTGTCCAAGTTTTTATTTAAAAAATATCTTTAATAGATTTTATTTGTGTATTATCGAGTTCAAAAAATTTACAATAACAACAAAAAATGTTTATATTGCTGTAGAACAATCATTGTTTTTCTTTAACATCTTCCGAGGATTAATGCAATGAGTGCCATACGAACATACATTCCATTTTCAGCCTGACGGAAGTACGCAGCACGTGGGTCAGTGTCAATGCTAGGACTGGAATAAAGTAAAGCAACAGATTTTGAAACATATGGGTCAATGCTAGGACTGTAATAAAGTAAAGCAACAGATTTTCAAACACAAGGAAAACTTAACATTAAACAGTTTTAAATTTACAACAAACAACCCTTTATAAAGAAAGTATTTGATCTTGTGATTTACAGTTCATTTACAAAACATACAAATTTTGTCTAAAATGTGATAAATAGTCTAGAAGTTAACATTTATGTAAATTTTGCTTAAAGATTACAGTCCTGTTTATAAAATTGCTAAGCTAGTTAGTTACTCAAGAATATTTGCTGTTTTGTAGTTAGTTGATAAAAAACAGCCATTAACTGAATAAAAGAAAATCACCTGATTTCAAAAACTCGAGGCAGAGGGTGCATGACCACCATCTTCTTCTTGGCTAATGTCATCAATTCTGGCGTCAAAACTAATTTATTGCAGGCCTGTAAGGAAAAAAAAAAACCAACATATTTTTTAAAAATTCCGCCTTTTCAGCACTAAATTTTAAATTTTCCTAATCTAGACAAGTAAAATACCTCCTTGTAAGCTTCAATGCTATCAAATCTTTCTTGTTGAATCCTTGTCATATAAAGCACGTCAGTGTCAGGCAAAGCTTCCTCAAGGTTTGTGTAAAACTTCTGTTCATTTTAGAAAATGAGGTTGTTAAATATAATATAAACAAAAATTGTACCATTAAAATTTATGTGTGCTGTTTGTTAGAAATTACTTACCTGGCTAATTCCTCGTTTAGTCACCAGTTCTAGAATATCTTTAGGCATTTCAAGGCCAGGAACTCCAACATATCTTAGGTTGACTTTGTATAGTGTCAACAACCTAGCCAATGAGTGAACAGTACGACCATTCTTCAAGTCACCAGCAAGTGTAATCTAAATATGAAAAATATCCAAATGATTGCTTTAAAACATTAAACATGAAACTATTTAAGTAACTATAAAAATAGGACTAGGAGAACATGGTATTGAGATATAAATATGACAGTGTTTTTAAAATACATACTGTTAGCCCATTGACTGTTCCAATTTCTTCTCTGATAGTAAAAACATCCAGCAGAGCTTGAGTTGGGTGCTCACCTATGCCATCACCAGCATTCACTACAGGCTTTCGGCTGACTTTAGCAGCAGTCTGTTAATTAAAATGTAAATAGTCTGCTTTTCAAATTCAACTCTCTTGTGGACAAGTTAACATTTTAAACATGAGATAATTACATAATTAGAGGAAAAAACAAGTATTGGGACAGTTTTGTTACAATGTCTTATTTAAATTGGGACAGTTTTTTTTAAAACAATATTCAATTTAAATCATGATACAAAAAGTGATTTTTGTAAAGATAAAGCGAGAACATTAACTGTCAAGGGTAATTTTAGCTCAGTATTTTAAATGACTACTAATAAGAACATTCACAACCACTGAGCTGGGCTGATTTAGAGATAGCTATTTTTTTTTTTTTAAAGATACTGGACAAGAATATAAATTGTACACCAAATAAAATATATACCTGAATGGCTCCTATCTTAGGATGTCTCAACACTAGAATATCAGCATACCCAGCCATCATGGATACAGTATCTACAAAAATGTATTAAACCACATTTTCATAAATGGTTCATTTGATTTAATTATCTTGTAAATTATGTATTTACTTTGAAAAGGAAAAAATATAAAATATATAATTGACACAGGTTTTTAAAAAACGATTAAAACATTTCCCACCTTCTAGGGTCTCCCCCTTTTTGGTAGAGGATGTGATCTCATTAAAATGAAGAACTGTCCCCCCAAGTCTCTGCATGGCTACAGTAAAAGAACAACTTGTCCTAGTGGAGACTTCAAAGAAAATGGATGCCAGTACTTTGCCCTAAAGAAAGAAAATACCAAAAGAGTTTAATTATTCAAAGAAGGATAAATAAAATAAAGTATTTAACTGATTTATAATTCTAATTCTGTTAACAAATTAAACCATCAAATAACTCACCTTAAGGACATGGTCTAAAGGTCTATCTTTATTTACTGCCACTTTGTAATTGTGGGCCAGATTGAATATTTCAGAAAGCTAAGAATGACAAAATAAAATAATTATCTAGTAGAGCAAGTTTGAAAAGAGAAGAATACTTGATTAAATAGAGATGATTAATTAAAATAAACTGCAGAAACAATAAACACCAACAAACCTGGTCTTTGTTGAACATCATTACACTTTCACAATGTTGCCCTGTTAGTCCCTTGGTAAAATGGGGATGACCAACAGGCTGGAGAGAGGCTGGATACATCCCAGGCATGGAGGCAGCTACCTGGGTGGCCAGCTGTCTTGTTGTATCAGAGTGCATGGCGTGATGATCCTTAGGGACATCTGGAATGAATGGACATTTATTTGAGAGTTTGAAAAAACCCATCTCGCCTCAAACCCACTTTATCAGCATGTGACACAGTATCAGGGCATTTAATTGTACCATGAAAACATTTTTTAGAACTACTCATATTGTACATGTTGAGCTTAAAAATAATTCCTGTAGTTGTCATTCTCATCTTGCAAACTGCAAATGAATAGGAAATTTTTAAAACCTATCTAAAAATGTATTAATGCTAAAGTAAAAAAATTTTTTTTTGTGCTTTTCATTTAAAAAAATAACAACCTAAAAGCAGCCTTAATATCTGAATTTTCTGTTTTGCTTTAAAGATACACCCAACAAAAATATGCTTAAAATATTAAGTTCAACATGCTTTGTACTTTAGTTGTTTAAAAAGTGGAAGTCACTTAAAAGCTGAGTAAGTACTGAAAAAGAGACTGATGTTTTTATGTTAAATTAGAATAATACTAGAGAAAATACACCTTAGTAAAAAAAACAGTACTATAGCAAAAAGATTTTGCTACTTGCGGTTTTTTAGTACCTTGGCTGATTTCTAAAAAAATATAGAACAATAGTTTAACAATACAATAATCCACATAAAGCAATAAATTTTATCATAAAAATGTATACAATACATTGTTCAAATTTACAATCAGCTTACTTCTCTTTACAAACACATTTTTCAGTTTTATCACATTACACCAACATTTTCACAAACATAAAGTACTACATTTTTCCACAAACTGTAACTTGAGTGGTACTTTTTAACAGTGTATAAATAGTATGATATAAGCTATTATAAAGATTTATTTTTAAAAAATTTAAAAATGTGATAATGAATTAATCTGTTATCATCCTTCATATTAATCTTTTTCCAGTATTCTTAAACAACCTGTTTGATATAATCAGCTTCAGAATGATTACTTTCAGCTGAAGTATAAAGCTGGATCAAAACAGAACCTTAAAAGCCTCATGCAATAACAAGTTTTTTTAAAACTGCAAAGATGTACATGAGCATGTAACAACAGAAAATAATTTCTTCAATGTAATAACAGGATTAATGAATTGCATGCAAAGCAACCGATATTCAATTTTACAAGAACATTTTGTACTATTTAACACAATTTTTGAAATAACTATAAAATAAAAAGGTTTAATGGAAATTTTAAAGCTGAAATATTTTAGCAGCCCATGTAGATAGGAAATTGCCTGAAGGGTATTAAAATTGTGATTTGAATATTCTGTAGAATTTGTAGCCATTAGCAGTGCAAGTGTTACCATTAGTTTAAACATTGTGTACATGTCACATGTTGACCCCACTTGAAACAGATAAGTAGCTGAACAAAATTACCTGAACTTTTCTCTACACCTGTAGGTGCCTCACCTTCAAAAACAAGGCCAGAAAATTACTCAATAGCACTCAGAGCAAGTCATTTTGTTCCAAACACAAGGGCCATAATATGTGCTTCACCCAATACCAATTTTTAGTTATAATATTTGATTTTCACTCTGATGCGCATTATTTGTTACAAATTAGCATAGGAAATACTTGGTTAATGTGAGCGATTGAATTTTTATTTTTGCTTTAAAAAATATCAATATCCCCCTATTCATTATGAAATTAAGATTAAAACGTTGCCAGAAAAAACATTCTATTTCCATAACCGATGTTAGAAAATTAAATGGAATAATAGAAGGTATTAGAAAGCACATTGATAGACAGCATGCATCTACATTTTGTTACCTGCTTTTTCACGATAAGTTAATGCATGTTCAGGTGAGTCTCCAACTGTTTAAAAGAAAGGTCAAGGATGGAGAGAGGTAACAGGAGGAAATTGATTATTAATTATACATTTAGTTTTTATCGAGATGGTTTCCAGTCTTACATTGAAAAAAAAAACCAAATTGTAATGAGGGAGAAAAACACAAATGCTAAGTTAAAACTAGGTTCAGATGTAAACCACTGTTAAGTTACTGAGTTTATAAAATAAGTTTTGTCTGGGAAATATTTGTTCTTTTTCATGATCAGGCAAAAATAAAATGACAAGCAATTTTCATGTCAAATAGGTTTTAGAAAGTTAGCAAAGTCTAGCAGATTCGCTACTTCAGATTTAAAAAATAAATTTTGTAAAGCAAACAATATGCTAAAAGTAGTAAAAAATAAAAGCTTCTGAATAAAAAGTACACCATGCAAGTCATCACACTGAAAATGAAAGTTAAATAATTTCTAATATTAAACTTGAACAAAACAGAGTAAAAAAATATCCTAAACTAAATATAAACACTTACCTAAGTGAGAGCATTCAGATATCTTGGGTGTGCGAGGAGGATGGGTATGTGTCTTGTCAGCGTGGTATTGGGGCATCACCTTCCTTGGGCTGGGAGGTTCTGACGGACCTTGTGACACTGGCGCACTGCTGGGTATCTGGACACTAAGCTGAGCAAGAGTTGACTCGGGGGATTTGGGTAAAGTTATGGGTGGTGGAAGGGATTTGACATCAGTTCCATGTCCAGGATTTGTTATCACCTAGGCGAGATATGATCTTTGTTAGTTCCAAGCTTACGATTATAACTAATACAGTTTTTAAAAACTTGCCAAAAAAGCCTGATGACAAAGAAGTTATGTATCTGTATTTAGTTAAAAGATAACCTTACCTCCCCATCAATTACAGCCAACTCTCCTCTGAGCACAACACGTCTGACGATTCCTTTCACTGGTCGCCCAGCAAATGGTGTCCACTTTGATTTAGTATAGGGCATTGAAGTTGGGATGACCCACTTGTGGTCAAGGTCCACTTCAATGTAAGTGTCAGGTTGCTCAGGCAAATTGAATATGCGCCTTGGATTGGTGTGCATCCTCAGCACAATATCCTGTAAAAAACAGCATTTAACAATTGTATCTAGCCTTTCATTAAATGTTATTGGTTAATTATTCATTAAAAACTTAAAATTATGAAGTATAGAAACATAATTTATAGATTGTTACATTATACTTCAGTTATTGCACTGATTTTGAAGCTACAAAACTACACTTTTACAATAAAATAGTTTGACTAAAATAGAAAAAAAAAGAACCTCAATAGTTAACCTTCCATCATTCACAGCCGTCAAGAGTAATGGGAGTATGGTCTCCAGCCCTGGGTAGCCTGGGGGTGCAGTAGCACTGCTTTTCTCTTCAAGTGTGTGAGGGGCTTAGAAAGATAAACAAACAAAGCTGGACATTACACATTAAATATCAATTAAAAATTTGACAGCACTCTCCATAACAATTTATTTCTTGTACGAACTAACAAGTTTAAACAAAAGTTAAAATGTATTGTAAAGTTACCAAAAAAAAAAAAACATCTAACCAGCACAACCTACCATGATCTGTGGCAAAGCAATCAATGATTTCAAGATTGTCCCACAGTGCCTGTTGGTCTTCTTTACTGACAAGACGTGGCATGACTTTACCAAAGCTTGCACCAATGGTGGTGAGGTCGTCGGCAGTCAAAAACAGATGGTGGGGTGCTACTTCACATGTGATCTGAAGGCCTCGCTCTTTAGCTGCTTTTATCACAAGGATCTGAACATGAAAATTATATCTAATGTACATCTATAAATATAAAAAAATGACATAAATAATAAAGATGGTGTATGTTGTTAATATTACCCATTTCAAAACCAATAATGTTAAAGTAAAATACCTCAGACTTGCGGGCTACATGACAAATATGTAGGGTCCTCTGAAATAATTCAGCCATCAAAATTATGGCAGCTGTTGTCATTTCTTCAGCATGGGCACAGATTGGAACACATTTTGGCCAATTTTCAAAGTGCTGGACAATGGAAAAATGTTATGCTATCAAGATTGATTCATCATGTTCAACAAAGAGAAAAAATGTGATAAATGTGACTTGTACCTTTATCTTTAAAAAAAAAAACATTTCTGACCATGTAAAAAAATAGCCTTTAAAAAGGTAAGCTAGTTGATCAAGTTTGAAGAATAGAAAAGTTTCCATGGTTACCTTCATCCACACAGTTACATCATCCAGTTTGAGAGTGGTGAACGTCTCGTTTAGGTACATCTTTAGAGCCACAACTTTTCCACTCAAGTGTGGCAGTGTCAGGGCATTGGTGCTGCTTGCTCCTGCAAATATGCCATAATCACACCTAGCCCCTTGACGTGCCAGCTGCAATAAAAATACAATAAATTTGGTAAAAAAATTAAAACCAATGGTTGGGCATACAGCTTGTGATTGCTAACTCTGAAAGTCCTCAGTTTGGACCCCAGGCAGATAAAGCCTAGCTGGGGATAGCAACTCATCTAGGAGAGAAAACTCCAAAATCAAACAACATTTCCCTTGCAGATTGTTCCTGGATGGACAAAGGCTATGGAAGTAAATCCAGAAAGAAAAGCAGGCTGAAGTCTGAGTCAACATGCTATAACAAGTTGACACATAATACTTAATTGTGTTGTAGGTAATACCTCTTTAATATTACAATTCAAAAATGAAGAATAAGAAAACCAAACTATATTTAGTAATATAAATAATTCCAGTTTACTGCAACAAAAAGCACAGGATATCTGACCTTGGAGGTGAGCTTGAGAGCATCCTGATCCACGACTGGAGGGTTTGTGTTGGGCATGGCTAATATTGTAGTTATGCCTCCAGCCAGTGCTGCAGCAGTACAGGATGCCCAGTCCTCTTTGTGGGTGGCACCAGGTTCTCTCACATGGACATGTACATCAATGAGCCCTAGTAGAGAATAATACATGAGATGCATTGTTGTTGTACTCATTGGAATTACTTTCTTCTGTTGAAACAAACTCTTAAAAAACTAAATGTGCAATTTAAAATAATTTGACTTGGATCATACCTGGCAATCTGATAATTTTTTGAGATGAAAGACAGTCAATATTTGTTTTCATAACAGGGGCTTGAGCTTTCAACTGGTGTAAAGCCTGAATGAAAATATTGACATTTGAACACTGTGTTATTCAAAATGGAAATAATTCTTACAATCAATTGCAGACAGATTTTTAAAAATTACCTGCAAATTTTTTTTTATATATTTATGTTTCCTTCAAATATTAATTGACTAGGGTTTAATTGTATTAAAACATTTAGACAACTGTTCACAAACCTCCACAAACAGTTTTGTACATTTGACATCTGTGATTAGAGGCACAGAATAGTCCACAGCCATCCTGCGTGTCTTGTAGCCCTGGGTTATGAATGAAGATGCACGGTGGCAGCCAGAATAGCGCAGTGGCAGGTTAATGACCAGGTCAAACATGTGGTCAGAGAGGTAATCAGCTATGGTCCTCTGCTCACCATACCTGTTATTATCCTCACCGGTATCCTCATATGGCCAGTCCACAGCCTTAATCTTTAAAGCAATATACATCTTGTAAATATTTAATTTTTAGGTAAAATACTAAACTGCTTTATTTCTAATGCACTAACGTTATTTCAGATATTGTAAGTTATCGGGTCCAAAACTTAAAATTCTAAATAACCTACAAGAGAAGGATAAAGATTGAAAAACAAACCTCTCTCTGGAAACTTACATTAAAGTTGTGTTCATTGTAGAAGTCTGCAGTCCCCATACTGGCAAACAGCTGGTAACCAAGTTTCTCCAAAGTTCTCATTGTAGGTATAAGTTCATTTTTGTGCTTGAAGAGAAAATGTGTTTAAATAGCAAAGAACATACATTATTTTGCAAGATGTGAGATTTTAAATTATACGATGAACAAAATTACTAAATATATGACATTCAGCACTTTTAGCAAGTTACAATGTTAAATGTATTATGAAGAGGCTTTAAAAATCCTTCTTCTTCGTTCTTAATTTGAGTGTTGGAAGGGATTCCCATCCAACACAAAAATCTTTGAAAAGGCACAATTTTTTTTTTAAATTAGCAATTCAAGGGATATCCATTGGTTTCAGTCTATAAATTTAATATTTAAATAAATTTTTAAAAAATGAAAAAAAATAAAGGAATCATTATATTTTAAAGGAAATTTTTTTTTTTTGAAAATGTCTATACCTTGAAACTTCCAATTGAAATTAAAATATTCTTTTTTGGTATCTGAAATCCTGTGCTTAATATTGCCTTGAGGTATGCATCATAACGATTTTCTCCAAAGCATGCAACTTCTCCTGTACTAGCCATTTCCACACCCAAGAGAACATCTGCACCTTGCAAGCGGGAGAATGAGAACACAGGCACCTAAGATTTAAAAAAATAAAAACCATACTTTTAATACCATTACAAAAAAAACGAAACAAAAATGTGCACAACTATCTGCTAACTGGCTCAAATACTTACTTTGACTGCCACTTTTCCGCAACCCGCTGTCACGTTAACTGGTTCAACACTCTCACCCATGATCACCCTGGTAGCTGTGCCAACAAAATCATAATCCAAAGCTTTTGAGACAAAAGGGAATGACCTTGAGACCCGGACATTACACTCTATTACTTTTAAGTGGTTGTCCTAGAAAGTAAGAAGAAAAAAAGTATTAAGAAAAAAAATATTTTAACAAGAAATGTGTAAAAACATATTAGGGCCTTTTATAATTGTTTAAACAATTAGTCTTAAATCAAAGTTTGAAAAATGAAAGCCTAACAAACTCACTTTGGCAATAAGCTGAATATTGAAAGGTCCAGTCACAACCAGAGCCCTTCCTATGGCACAGCAGATTGCTTTAATTTTGGCCAAGGTCTCCTGATTGAGATCTTGAGGTGGGGTAACCAGTGTGGCATCCCCTGAATGTACTCCTGCATTTTCTACATGCTCAGATACAGCAATGCAGACCACCTCTCCATCAATAGCCACAGCATCTACATCAATTTCCTTTCAACGACAAACGACTCAGGTTATTAAAAAATATAACAATAATGCAAAATTACTTTGTTAAATATTAAGCTACTTTAAATAATTAAAACAAACTATTGTTTTATTGATATCAGTAATAATCAGTAAGAATGTTGGTACGGTTATTGACAAGATCCAAAAAATCAAAAACAAATTAATGGTAATAAAAACTTGTCTAAAATTGGTATTATTTCTACTACCTTAATGACAGATGAATAGGATTATTCAAATATGGGAACTTTTACCTTAGCTTCCAATATAAACTTGGATATGACCACAGGATAATCCTTTGAGACAGCAGTAGCCTGGGTAAGGAATGTCTCCAGGTCATGTTTGTGCATGGCAACATTCATTGCTGCACCACTCAGCACATAGGATGGTCGGATCAAACATGGATAGCCAACCTCATCACAGAAATCCATTGCAGCCTTTATAGACAAGAAATATTTAATAAGTATATGCTATTATTGATCAAAACATTTTGACCGCCATAAAATAAAAGGGTTTATGTATTAGACATAGCTATCCAGCATGAGTTATGCACAAACTAACTTCGTAAGTAGACAGCTCCTTCCACTGAGGCTGGTTTATGTCCAGGTTATCCAACATTCTAGAGAATTTGAATCTGTTCTCTGCATTGTCAATACTGTCTGGTGAGGTTCCTAAAATTACTGCCTGAAACCAGATGGGTCATTTTGTAAATGGACATTGTTTTTACAAACCAAAACAAAGAACAAAACAGGATTGTGTTAAGAATCTAAGAATAACAAATTTTAGGCATTACCTGCTGCCTATGCAAGTCCATCGCAATATTGTTAGGCAACTGACCACCCATACTTAGGATTATTCCATGAGGATTTTCCAAGGTGTAAATATCCATGACAGTCTGAGAAGATAATACAATCAATGAAATTATGCATGCTGAAAATTAATTCATTTTTAAAAATGTATTAACAATCATACTATATAACCAGTTAAGATGTTAGAGCTAGTACCTCAAATGAGATCTCATCAAAATAGAGCCTGTCACACATGTCGTAATCTGTGCTCACAGTCTCAGGGTTGTAGTTCACCATGATAGTTTTGTGGCCGAGCTTTGAATGTGGAAAACAAACATTCACAAATGAATGAAAATATTACATGGCAATTATAATATACATACTCACATGACCAGCCTTGTTCAGTTTTAACACTCCTATTTTATAGGCTTACCTCTCTTAAAGTTCTGATACAATTCACAGCACACCAGTCAAATTCAACGCTGCTGCCAATACGATAAACTCCTGATCCCAGCACCATGATGTGTTTGCCAGGAAAGTCAATGTCGTGTTCTATTCCACTGTAAGTCAGGTACAAGTAGTTGGTGGTGGCCGGCCATTCAGCTGCCACTGTATCAATCTGTCGAACCCATGGAATGATGTTCTGGTCGTATCTGCACTTTCGAATTACTAGCTCTGTGCTGTTAGATAAAAAAAAATATTTAAATCTCAAAATATACTTTTCCTTGCATTCAAGGGTAGTTTTACCTATTTTTCATTTTTATAAGTCAAAGAAATAAGAAAAGTAATTTTTAAACAAATTTTTATTTTAACTTTGTAATAACGTTATCAGTCAAATTAGTAGATAAACTAGACACGAAATGCCACATTTTTTAACCCCCACCTTGAAACAACTTGTGCAATCTGCTGGTCACTAAATCCCAACTTCTTGGCAGAGAGTAAGAGATCGTGAGGAAGATTGTTGGCCTGAAGAAAAAAATCTTGTTTTTAATGAACTGAAAATTTAAATATTTAGAGGGGAAAATGTATGTATGGATTAACAATAGTTACCTTTCCTTTGTATGCCTCAAGATCATTGTATTTTTTAATGATGTTTTTAAATTTGTAAAGAAACCAGGGATCAATTTTGGTCAGTTCATACAGACGTTCAATGGACATGTTTTCTTTGAGAGCTGCAGCCAGAACAAATATTCTTTTATCTGTCGGGTGTTTCAGTTCCTGTAGATAAAAATATATTTTATTTATTGTGCCAACTACTTAATATAGTGGTGTTTTAGCATTCATACAAGAAAACTAATAAAATGCTTTAATTTTACTTAAATTATACATCATGAACCCTATGGTAAAGATGTTAAAATGATATATTCATTATTAATAAGCAACAGCTGTGCTGGAAACTAATGAAAAATGTACTCACATCTTCACAGACTTTGTAAGTGGTTGGATCAAAACCCCTGACACTCTCATCAACCATCCTCAATGCTTTCTGAAAAGCTTCCTCAAAGTTCCTGCCAATGGCCATGACCTCACCAACACTTTTCATAGAACTGCCAATCTGAGTTTTACAAATTGTATGCATTTTAATTTATTGGACCCAAATACAAAAAAACCATATCTGGCTAAAATTAAAGAGTTCCTCCTTTGGTAAAACATCCTACTTCATAATAGGTATTTAATACACATCTTCATTACTGGTTTATACATTCTCTTGTGCTAAGTCACAATTTAAAAAAAACAAGCAATGCAAATATATTTTTAACGTTACCTTAGTAGAGACTCTAGAAAATTTCCTCAAGTCCCACCTAGGAATCTTTACAACACAGTAATCCAAACTAGGCTCAAAGCATGCTGTAGTTGATCCTGTCACTGAGTTCTTCAACATCGGCAGGGGCATGCCAAGAGACAGCTTAGCTGCTACATAGGCCAGAGGGTAGCCAGTGGCCTTGCTGGCTAGTGCTGAAGATCTGGACAGCCTGGCATTCACTTCAATGATGAAATACTGAAAAAAATCAGGTTACTGGTAGGACTCTCAAGAAAATATACACATTAGCATGAGTGTTATTTAGCACATATGTGCTATACAACACCTTTTCACATAGGGTTCACCAACAATACTATAAAAACTACTTGAAAAGAATTATTTAAATTTACCTGCTGGGATAAAGGATTTAAGGCATATTGAATGTTGCACTCTCCAACAATGCCAAGGTGTCTAATCACTTTTATAGCAGTTGTCCTGAGCATATTGTACTCAGCATCAGTTAAGGTCTGACTAGGAGCAACAACAATACTCTCGCCAGTATGAATGCCCAGTGGATCCACATTTTCCATGTTGCAAACCTAAAAGATAATTTATACAACACTGTACAAAGCCTTTTAATTTTTGTAGAAATTAAGTGATTTAAAAATACAAAAATGAAATATCAAAATGTTAGAAAATTAATATAATTTAGTTGTAGAATTAAATAAACATCTAGCTTGGGCAAAAATAAATAAATTTTTAATATTTTATTTAGTGGTGTTTTTGGACAGCATCTGGGAACATATTTCATATACTTGCACCATATCCAATGCACATAAAGTCAACTTCTACATACATTGCCTTAGTGTAAACAAGGTATAAGAAGGACTAGGCACTCACCGTGATGCAGTTGTCATAAGCATCTCTAACAACTTCATATTCCACTTCCTTCCAGCCTTTCAAAGACTTGTCCACCAGCACCTGGGAGGTGTGGGCAAATGCTGCCTGGACAAGGACACTCAACTCTTCCCTGTTGTCAGCAAATCCTGAGCCTAAACCTCCGAGTGCAAAAGCAGCTCGAATCATGACAGGATACCCCAGCCTCTCTGCAGCTTGTACAGCCTGTCATGTCAACAGAATATTTTCTTAATCCAATAAATCTTAACATCAGATGTAGAAAATAATACACAGTGATTTTGTTTTCAATTGATAATATAACACTTGTCTAATTATAATGCATACCAGTTTAATTATAATACTTGTCTAAATTGTACCTGTTCAGGTGAGTAGGCAGCCTCACTAGGTGCAACGAACTCATTGATTTCAGCCATTTTGTCTGCAAATATTTTTCTGTCCTCTGTCCAAACTATGGATGCCACCTGTGTTCCAAGGACCTTGACATTGTATTTATCAAAGATGCCAGTCTTTGTTAGTGTGACACCACAGTTTAAGGCAATCTGTCCACCAAAGGTTAACAACACACCATCTGGTCGCTCAGATTTGATGACCTGCGGGCAACAAAGTGAAGTATCAGACTTGTATGATGTTTTACAGAAAATAAAAATGTTTTCACAAGACATGTTTAAGTATTTGTCCACTTTCAAATGCAATGACAGCACTCACCTGTGTAACATACTCAGGGGTTATGGGTAAGAAGTAAACTTTGTCTGCAAGACCTCTTGAAGTCTGAACAGTTGCTATATTTGGATTTATCAAAACAGTTGCAATCTTTTCCTCTTTCAAAGCTTTTATTGCCTACAAAAAATAAATTAAAAAAAAATTGTTAACAAGATAAACAGTGATATGCCAAAATAAAGAGTCTTACACAACTCTTGAAATATCAATAGTTAAAGATGAGTTTGTTGACTTCATTTATAAAACAATCCAGATTGATTTGATGTCCTTGTTGACTAGGTTATGACTGACCTGTGATCCTGAATAGTCAAACTCCCCAGCCTGACCAATGGAGAGTCCACCTGAACCTAGAATAAGAACCTTCTTTGGCTGTTTCACATCCAGCTGTACCATGGAAATACCTTCACTTCTCAAGTGGATGTGCATCCTCTCTTTGATGCTTAGGCTAGTTGAGGATAAAACAGCTCATCCAACTTACTGGGTTATTTTAATTGCTTTAAAAATATAGAGGAGATTCAAAATACACCACATGTAAAAGTAAGCAGGTATAGATAAGATCAATCTATAATAATCTAAAATGCTAAATATAGGGGATGAAATGTTCAAGAGGTCGGCCAAGTGATAGCTAATTTAAACAACTCAAGTTTTGTTAATGGCTTAAGCATGAAGGGAACCTGACCCATATAGGGGAAAAAAACAACTTGGCAAAGAGCTGACCACATAATCCTTTATATGCCAAAATAAAAAACAGAAGAACTCTACTCCATCTGACATTGAGGTGATCTGGGCTGAAATAGTGTTATACTTTTTAAATTTAAATAGTAACTTTAAAGTCACAAACCTTGTATTTCCCTGTTTGTGTGATCGAACTTGGTCTAAAAACACAGTGAATAACCCTTCAAGGTCCTGTGGACCTGCCTTGTTTTCTGGATGGAACTGGACACTAAAGAAGGGCCTGCTATCATGAATGATACCTTCATTGGTTTTATCATTAGCATTGGTGAAAAGTGGGCTCCATCCTTCGGGTAGAGTCTTCTCATCTACAGTGAAGCCATGGTTTTGGCTGGTTATGTAGCATCGTATGCTGTTTTCATATATGCAGGGTTGGTTATGTCCTCTGTTACCATATCTGTATTGAGAAATTAAATAGTTTGTTGATCTACAGAAAAATTATTATTTTACAATACAAATATATTTTCTAAACAGTGTTAGATGTTAAAGAATTCAAAACTACAAATAAACATATGGGTGAGGGTTAAAATGCAATTGACTAATTTCAAATTAAAGCCATTACAAAAATAAAATAATAACAGATCAAATTTTTGGGGTATTTAAGCTATGGTATAGAAAAAAACAATACCTGCTTAGCCAAAACACTAAGCAGTTCTTATTATCAACTGACAGCAGACACTGATTGAAGACACAAAATTGACCCAAGCAGTGTATAAAGCAGTATTAAGTGAACTGATGCTGCATTAAATTCACATATTATCAGAAACTGTACAGTATTTCGTGAATATTTATAACTTACTTCATTTTCTTGGTTTTGGCCCCAATGGCCAAAGAAAGAAGCTGATGGCCAAGACATATACCAAAAAATGGTTTGTTTATGGGGTCATTTACTATTGCACTTATAGTTTTGATCGTAGCATCACACATCACTGGATCACCTGGGCCATTGCTGACAAACACACCATCATAATCTGAGTGGACACAAAATGTATTTGTAAAGTATTTAGTAGTTTTTAAACAGTTTAATTCCACTAGTTGGACAGCTGCTATGGAAACAAATCCAAAAAGAAACACATATCAGGTTGATATGAAACGATTGTGTTGGAGGAAATCTTGTCCAACATTACAATTAAGATCAAAGAAAAAAATGCACTATTTAGTGTTTTTTTTTAATAATTGTAGAAAAAACTATTCCCAGATGAGGAAAGCCAGAAACCTTTTTCAAGTGTTAATATAATGGCCGTATATGAATAGTAAGTTATTAATTACATAAGATTCATTTTTGTTAATGACAAAAAATAAGAAATGTAAATCATAATCATAATAAATATTTTATCTAATTTAGAATGTATCATAAACAGCACCAACCTTCAATATTGAACTGTGCATTCCATGGTACAACAGTCACAGATGCCCCACCCTTACATAAGCAGCGTATCTGGTTGTATTTCAAGCCACAGTCTATTGCCACAATTTTAACTTCTCCTTCTTTATTGTAAGTTTTGATGGTCTATAATTTAAAGAGGATTTCTTAAAAACAGACAAAACAATACAAAAATCTTAACATAAAGCATATTTAACAGTAATAAAGGATATACACCACAGATTAGAATTTTTTTTCTCATCAATGAGTTATGAAAATTTTTAACTGCTATGTTTGAAAGTGTACCTTTGTAGAAACTTCTGACACCAAGTTGAATTTGTCTGGATCAATAAAGTCAATGGCATCATCAGTCTCTTTAACAATCAACTAAAAAAAAAAAAAATTTTGTTTAGCAGCAAAGAACATACAAGAGGTAAGTTTAATAAAATAAACAGACTTATTTTGAAACTAAATGTTCTATAAAAAATGAATACCTTTAAGTGAGATAAATTCAAAATATTTTTATTTCTATTTTGTTTTGAACAAAAATGTATAAGAAACTAACTATACAGTGTCATGTGTCCAAATTATATTATTCTTTAAAAATAAAAAATGTGCATATTTCTCTATAATAATTACAACAATATGTAATACTTGCCTTTCCAAGCATAGTGCCCTTCTCTCTAATTTTTTTGGTGAGAGCCCTTGTGTCAATTCCTAAAAGAAATTTTTAATGTGTTAAGAAAATGTAATTTTTTTTTTACTTGTTTATTATGTTCGCAGACTAACCAATTCAGCCATCATCCCATTATATGTCTAGGTCACAGAAGTAAATTCTATTTCATCTGCCTTAGGGTATAGTAATTTTTTAAATAGAAAATCGCATGACTAAACAAATGTGCGCATCAAGTGAACACACTGTCTGAATACTATGTGTCACAGCTTAACACATTTAGAACTTTACATTTTTAACAAATAATGGGTTTGGGAGAAGTACGTGAAATCTTGTTCAAAAGATTTTACCTAAAATGAAGAATCAAGTTAAATAAGTTTGTTAAAAAGTTGAATTTAAAAAATAAGTGAAGTATTACCATAAATTCCAGGGACATTCTGTTCTTTCATCCACTGATCAAGTGATTTTTTGGCTCCCCAATGGCTGTAATGCTCAGACAAATCCCCAATAACTAGCGCTGCAGCATGGATTCTATCAGACTCAAACCATTGAGGGAGTCCATATACATCTGTCTCATCACCTGCGACTCCATAATTACCAATCAGGGGATATGTCAGGATTAAAATTTGCCTGTGGTAAGAGGGATCTGTAAGGGACTCAGGGTATCCCACCATTCCTGTCTGAAACACTGGAACATTTTTGGGGTAGAAGAAGGAGTTAAATTATAACTGTCTCGAGTTTATTGATTGAATATGTATAAAAATGATCAATTACTTAAAATAATTAAAATCAAATATTTTTCTAGGCGTTAATTCAGCTTAGTCATTAATATGCTATGATATTGAGAAAATTTACATTAATATCTGAAAACTATGGTAAATTCTAAATTATGTAAATCACATACCAACTTCTCCTGGTACATTTTTGGCAGCTCCAAATGGTATTCCGTAATAAATTGTTCCATCATCTAGCTCAAGATAAGCACTGCCATCTTTGTTTGGTGCCATACATAAGCTGGTTTTATGAAAAGAAAAATACATTTTGGTTGGAGTTGTGAGATTAGTAGAAAATTTTAAGACCCAGGAACTTATATAATAGACAAAACAGGCACATAAAACTATTAACATGTTAGAAGAGATAATTTTGTAAAGTTTCCAAATAGTTAAGTATAACAATATGCTTATGGAAAAACAATTTGATAATATTAAAGGTAAAAGAACATGTTTAGGACTATTACAATACATTTTGATCTACATATAATTTATTAAAATACAGACATTAGTTATATATTAATGTTCTTTTAAGGTCATCTATTTATGACATCTACAAAAAAATTTGGATTTATAAGCACCATCCCATCTCTATCCCAAAATTGGAGGGAATCTGTTCCAACACTATAATTAAGAATGAAGAAGAAGATGCAAAGTAACAGACTTGTTTATTTTTTGCATGAAAAGACATTTTTAGAAAGTATTACTTCCTGAACTGATGTGTCTTACTAGTGTCTTATAATACCACCATAATGAATTCTTCTTACAAAAAGGAGTGTTAGATTACTGATTGCTAACTAAATAAAATATTGTTAGCTAGTTTCACCACTAACCCTATCCTCAGTCTTACCATAGCCCCTAACGTAAACCTCATTCTGACATGTCTTTTAATACTTTTATCGCATATCGTAATAACAATACTCTTTATATTGATTTTAATAAGTGGTATTGTTACATCAAGTTAAAAATCTCAATTACATATTTGTTTTCATTCATTACTTACAACTGAAGCACAAACTATATAGGCCTAGATATGGCAATTAAATTATCTGCAAAATTTGGTTTTCTTCAAAATATGAGTACTATCATAAAATTGTAGGAAAAATCTCCATTTTACATCATATGGAGATTAAGTTAGTGTGTGGTGTATGAGTGGTGACAAATAGAAAAACGTGTGTAGGCAAACTACGTATTTTGAAATATAATTTTTTTAAGTGGATGACCCCCATGATAAAGCTTGATTGATCATCATTCACTGTTCTAGCCACTAAAACTTCTAGTCAAGATCTAACTATAGGGAGGGCATAGGCATTCTATAATATATCAGCATCTAGAATTTCTACTTTACTATTCAATATTATTCATTACTTAAGCTATCATTGGCCTAAAAAATGAATGAATAAATTACATTAATGACTAAACCCTAAATTAAATTTAAAAAATTACAAAATAATAAATCTTAACCCCTTTACCGTGTGTCACGAGTTAACTCGTCATATAAAATCTTGGGCTTAACCGTACATCACGAGTTAACTCGTCTTCAGATAAAAAAGTCGTCTGTGTGCCGTGCGTCGCGAGTTAACTCGTTTTGATACGAAAATAGCATTGGAAATCAATAACAATGTAGAGGGAGGCTAATCTAACAGCCAATTCAACAGCGTATGATAAAAATAGGTCATCATGTGATGTTGGTACTGTGCTTTTGAATTACCTTCTTTATATTTACCTCATAAATTCTAAATGTCAACTCATTTTCACTCAAAATGATGTTTTATTTTGTCAGGACAACATAACAAATCAAATAATGAAAAAAAAAATACAGTTTCCAAAAAAAATTTTTTTTTCCCACGGTAAAGGGGTTAATAAACGTAATAAAGGATAAACAATGAAAGAAAATAGTGCATTTAGTACCTATTGCTTTATTTTTAAAAAAAGTATAATACAATTGCGGAAATTGCTAGTTATATTACTAGCTTCAAATTTCATGGCTGTGTTTTGTAAACAACAACCTCATGTCATTCTTTATAATTTTACTTAGGCATATTATTTAGTTTTAGGCCTATAGTTTTGTTTTATAAACGAAGGAAGAACTGAGAATCTATTCAAGCCTCAAGCATAATCACTTTTTGGTTTGAATAAATAATGTGAACAATTTTTTTTATTTCTGAAGGTAGGCCTACATAGTACATACTGCAAATTTAAAGCTTTATCATCTTGTTCATTGGGAAAGCTGGCTATATTATAAACACAAAAGATAGGCTAATAATAGATAATTTATTTCAATGTAGACTTTTAAAGTATTTTCTTATATAATTATTATGGAGTTTTGCTCTTTTTGATCCATATTTATATTACATGACCCCTGCAGGGTCTTCCAAGTGGTAGATCTATAGGTTTTCCGGATGATTATAGATCTAGATACCGGTGTCCGATAATGGAATCTTCTTTAAAAAAAGGGTTTTGGGTTGTTAGTAGTATTGTAATCTCGACTAATTTTATGGTTATAAATTAGGGTTAGGCATATGGACAGTATGGTAGGACCAGGGGTGGGGTTAGGGACAGGATTAGCATTGACATTACATTAGCCAGCCATGTGTGTATTTAGTTGACTACCAGTAACCTAACACCCTTTTTAAAAGAAAATTCCATTATAGCCGCTACAGTATAAGACTCTTCATTCTCCCCTATCTCCTAGATCTAGTACATTAAGTTTAAGAATAAAAGTAAGCACTAGATCTAGATATTGAATCTACTAGTTTACTAGTTAGATTAGAATCTAGAATAGAAGCTAGTCTTAGACCAGTAGAGAGTAGTCTAATTAAATTTTACTTAAAAGTAGTAAAAAAGAGATGGCCTAAAAAATTAAATTTCAAACATGAGTGGAAAAGTGACTCATAATTCAAGTCTAGTCTATAGAATAGATTCTTTAGAATAAACTTAGATTAGAATCTAGATCAAGGCTGCTAGACTAGGGCCTAGATCTAAATCTATAGATTTTAAATCTAGAGAGATCTAGAGTCTAGCTAGCAACTTACAATTCACTAAGCTACTTGTTTTCGACCCACGTGTAGTAGATCTAGAAGAGTTGTTTACAATTCAAAAGCCTATGGGCTGAGTAGCGGATCTTTAACCTTACAAAAACAAGATCTACACTTTCGAAAAATAGGCCTAAATCTTAAAAATAATTAATTATTTTATATTTATAGCCTGTAGAGTCTAGATTCTAGACCTAGAATTAGTCAATAAACAATTGCTAGAATTTAAATTTTGGCTTATATAATTTTAATGTACTAGTTTACTCATTTAGCCTAAGTGTTATTTGATCTAGATCTAGAATTGATTGTCTAAGTCTAAGACAACTAGGGCCTAAGTCCAATTAAAATTAACACAATGATCTGATCTGGGGAGGCCAAACACTGAAAAAAAACAAAGACATAACGACCCATTTCATTGCCCGGTGTGAACTTTCGAACCCCCTCAATATATATGGGCCTATATGCGTGTGTCTGCATGTGTGCGTTTAACACTTTTCTAAGTGTTACGCGATTTATCTATTCAAAATCTGGTGTAAACCCTTCCTATTTACGTTGGTGAAAACGTCCCCACCTAGTTAAATCATTGTGTCGGCGCCCTATACGCCCTATAAGCTATGCCACTAAGGCCAAGCGGATCACACACCACCAGAGTTTCTTCCAGGCATCTCTTCGGGGGGGGGGGGCGAAGCCCCCCGAAAATTTTTTTACCGCCCCCCCGAACGAAATGAAATTTATATATAGAAAATATATACGTTTAACAGTGTCCGCCCCCCCCCCCTCCCGAAGAAAGTCTACCGCCCCCCCCCCCCCGAAAATTTCAAGTGCCCCCCCCCCCCCCCCCCCGAAGAAAAAAGTCTGGAAGAAACACTGCTCGCACAACGTCAACAACAAATGCAGAACTAATTGTATTGATTGAAGAAGCAGTAACAATCAATTTAATGATAGCCCATGACGTTCTGATTATAATCAGCAGCAATAAAACGCGTTTTAATACTCTAAGAAAATGTAGAACTCAAATGCATTGTCAAAAAAATTCAATCAGGATCTATAACTAAATGTGGTCTCTTTTACTGTATGGCTTGGAGCTAGATTACAGACAGTGGAGAATGAAATAAGAGCATGGAAAAAAGTGGTGGTTAGTGGCTTAGGGATTCAAGAATCCGTGATATTTAGTTCTCTTTAATATAGTTCAGTGATCCAGGTAAGATGTAATGCAATCAATCAAAAGTATCTGATCTCTCACGTTGAAGTTGAGAGAATCGTAAGAATCTTACAAAGAACTAGTCGCGTCTTTTTTTTTAAACAAAACTGGCTATTGAAATTGTACATTACGCGTTAATACACTTGGTTTCTTTACTAAGTGTTAAGAGAGTTATCTGCTCACCAATCCAGTACAAATACTTGCGATTTTTTTAGCGAAAAAAGCGCCCCCACCCCCACCCACACACTCATCACAACCATCTTGGACAAAGTTTGTAGAGCGGTTTTTAACGTAACAAACTTTTTTTAAAAAATGTTACACAATTATACAATGCACAGTACAATTCGTTTCTTTCTGAGAGCTAAAGGTTGTTTTCTCAGAATCCTGTGTAATTTTGCTATTTTATTTAGCCTAAAAGCGCCCCCCCCCCTGCACCATCTTGATAAAAGTCACTAACGTATTTTACAGTTCAACAATCGTACAATACGTTTCAATACAATTGGTTTCTTTTAATAGTGGTAACGTTTATCGACTCAACAATCTAGTGTAAATTCTTCCGTTTTAAGTCTCGAAAAAGCGCCCCCCCCCCCCATCTAGGTAAAGCTTCAAAGCGGTTTTGCCGGTCACTGTTTCTTAAGAGTATATGTTTTACATTAAGAAATCAAGGTAGAAAACAGTTAAATCAGTTTGTAAAGGCGTGTAGCCATTACATTTCTTAACTTAGACAGTTTATAATTCAAAACTGCAGCATAAAATCAGCTTTAAAAATTTTTTCCCACCCCTTTTGGCGCCCCCAAAGGGTCGGCGCCCGGGGCGGCCGCCCCCCCCGCCCCCCCCCCTAGCTACGCCTCTGACATAGATTTCTTTGATTGATCAATTTCCTCAGGTAATCTGATAGTGCTTTTTGGTAACCAAAAATACTGTTTAAAAGTAATATCCTGGACCATATCACTTTGCAACTGTGATCCAGTATTTGAAGTGGGTGTATTAAATGGCAAAAATCTTTTTCTTTCTTTTGATGTTACCCTTTTAGTTTCTTTAAGTGCTAATGATGTTAGCAAAGTTGTTTGATGATCACATTCCTTCTTACTAATGTATTTGAAATTGCCATATCACCATAATCATTTATTAAGTTACAAATACTTTGTTTAGGTAACTCTGACTGATAATGGACTGCATCTTCTCCATCTTTTATATTATCTTCACAAAGGTTTTTATTTCTTATTTAATATGGCCTTAAGTCATCATTCACAGACTCTTCAGGCCAACCATTCTTACAGTACTCATATATTTTTATTAAGCACTCATCTTTTTGTGTTTCTCTTTTAATATCATTCACATTTATATTGGAGTTATCCATGATAGTGAAGAGAACAAATACATCTTCTGGTACATAGCTCAGGCTTTGGTTTTTTAAAGGTAATCTACTAAGACTATCTGCACTATTCTCAGATCCAGGTTTGTATTTCAATTCATAATTGTATGCAGTTAGTGTGATAGCCCATCTTTGAATTCTTGGTGAGGCATGCTCAGGTAGGGTTTTGTTTTCTCCAAATAAACCTAGCAATGGTTTATGATCTGTAAAGATGGTGAACTTCCTACCAAACAGAAACTTATGAAATTTCTTAACACCAAAAATGATGCCTAAGCCTTCCCTATCTAACTGAGAATAATTTTTCTCAGCCTGGTTCAAAGATCTACTGGCAAAAGCAATGGGTCTGTCACCCTTCTCATCCATGTGGGACAAGACTGCTCCTACACCATCTGGTGAAGCATCACATGTTAATATAAGTCTTTTCCCTGGGTCATAGTGAGTTAGTAGGGTGTCAGAAGACAAAGCCTCTTTTGCTGTATTAAAAGCAGCTTCTTGTTGTTTACCCCAGTGCCAAGTTGCATTTTTCTGTAGCAGCTTGTACAGTGGTGATAGTTTACCAGACAGATTTCCTATGAACTTTGCATAGTAATTTATCAAGCCCAAAAAAGCTCTTAGTTGTTGGGTATTTTCAGGTTTGGGTGCTTCTTTAATGGCTTTTGTTTTCTCAGGTTGAGGTCTGATGCCTTGTTTGCTCAATGTATAACCAAGAAAACTAATTTCTGTCAACATGAATTGACATTTATCTTTGTTTATCTTTAAACCTTTTTCACCAACAATTTTCAATACTTTATCAAGTGTTTTAAGATGTTCAGTGTCATTCTTACCAGTTATGTACACATTGTCAAAGTACACACAAACATTTGGAATGTCCTTAAAAATACTGTCCATGACAGCTTGGAAAATTCCAGGGCTAGATGATATGCCAAAACATAGTCTTTCATATTGGTAGAGTCCTTTATGTGTGTTTATTGTCGTATAGACTTTTGAATCTGGATGCAGTTCTAGTTGAGTGTAAGCATGACTAAAGTCTAATTCAGTGAATTTGTCTCCTCCTGCCAAATTCAAAGAAATTTCCTCAATGTTAGGTATAGGGTACCTATTTAGCTCTATTTGCTTATTCAGTGTAGTTTTATAATCTCCACAAATTCTTATAGAACCATCCTTCTTTAACACTGGCACAATGGGCGACGCCCAATCGGAATAGTCTACCTTCTTTATGATGCCATTAGATTCCAATCTACTTAGCTCATTTTCAATTTTATTCCTCATTGCATAAGGTGGAACTCTAGCTTTGCAGTATCTTGGATTTGTGTCTTTAATGCTTAACTTCACTGTTCTATCATTTAGTAAACCTGAATTGCCAAAAACACTTTTATTTTCAGATATTACTTTATCTATTGAAGTAAGACTAGATTCTTTTACATTCTTCAATGAACAAATACTCTCCCAATTTAACTTAAGATCACTTAACCAGTTCCTACCTAGTAATGGTGGTCCATTTCCTTCAACCACAAGAAGAGGAAGTTTAACACTTTGACCATTATAACTTACATGAACCATACACTCTCCTATTACCGGAACATAGTCACCAGTGTATGTTGTTAGACACTTGTGACATGGCTGTAGAGGCACTGATCCTCCTGTGACAGCGTCAAAATCTTTCTTTGTTATGACTGTTAGCGATGCTCCAGTGTCAAGTTGGAAGCTGATGCTCTTACCGTTGATATTAACTGGTACATTGATGGGAGCATGACTTATTGATTTCACAGAGAACAGGTTGAAATCCGGCTGCGAATCAGTTTGAGCATTTTTACAGGTAGAGTGGTTCATTGGTTGGGTAGTCTTGGTGAGAGTTAACATAGTGCTGCCTTTGGTTGCGGTACTGTCTTGACTGGCTAGATTTAGCAACAGACGAAGACTTTGCGAAGCAGGCCTTGGCAATGTGACCTTGCTTACCGCACTTATAACAAGTTGCTAACTTGAACTTGCACCGATGAGATGCATGGGGACCTTTGCATCGATGACATTTTTGATAATTATTACTAGATTTAGATCTAGGATTTGAACGAGCAGGCTGTTTAGCATAAGTTGGAATGCTCTGATGGGGTTGATGTTTATTGACTAACCTGCTGTTTACTGCATGGATCTCTGAAGGTGCTAAAGATTTTGCCGCCTTGGATGACTGCTGGATTGAAGTTGCGAGTTGTATTGCTTTTTCTAATGTTAGATCTGACTCGAGCAGCAACTTTCTTTGAACATCAGGGCTGTTTACACCTGTCACAAACTTTTCACATAGTCTGTCAGACAGCGTATCGCCGAATTCACAAAATCTACTTAAATGACGTAAAGCAGCAACATATTCTGATATCGACTCGTTTGGTTGACGAGTCCTACTGTCAAATCTAGCTCTACGTAAAAACTTTGATGGGGTAGGCGCATGGTGGTCTGTTAGCAATTTGCTCAGCTCGTTAAAGCTCTTGGTAGTTAGACTAGCTG